AAATCGTAGGGTCCTGCGATAAAAGTCAGCAATTTGGTGCAGGCCCGAGTTAGGTGCTGCTAATATAGTGGCTGTTTTGTGCGTTGTAGTGGAATTTCAACTACCAAAAAAAACCCACCACCCATTATTAAAAATACTGCTGCGATATTGTGTCGTATGTTAAATACCTCGTCATCTGAGTTGGAAATTATGCAAACTTGGCGTACCTATTTGCAAAAACTGTTATGCATTTCAGTAATAAATTCAATGCAAGCTTCTTCGACGTTAAATCTTTAAATTTCCATAAACTTGGTGAACAACTACATAAGTAAATTTGTTCCGCCACTGCGGCTACATTTGGCTTCTGATCTGCAAAAGCACTAATATGATATATATGCAAGCGGTGGCGAATGTTCTGTTAACATAACGAAATTTCTGTGTTTGCTTCGTGAACGGAATTAACATGGAGTTTTGCGTATTCGTTAACTAAATTTACCCTTGACGTAAATCCTTTCCGAGAAAAGTTTCACCGAATTTTATTTCTCCTCAGCAGCTTATTCCAACCATATTCACCAGACATTAAACCATTACTGTACGATACGAAATTTTCTATTACCACGGGTCTTTTAATAGCATAAACGTACACTTAAAATTAAATTTCATTCAGTCATAATTCCACAATAATTATGATAGGGTAGCGAAGTGTTTTAGCTACTTTGGTCGCCTCTAAATGCTAAAATGTTTCTGACGTATGAATTTTCCGGTTAAAGGTCAATAAAAAGCGCTCGGTCTGGCCCGGATATTTTTGTCGGCGGAATTTTTCAATAATAATTGTTAGAAGTGTCGACATTCTGTGGTCTATTCCATTCGATCTCATATATATTGGATTCCTTTGAGATAGAAACTTCGGTATTACAAATTTCAGCTGTGCCCTGCTTTGAGACACCGTTTGATCTGAACTGTCGCATTGCATCACTGGTGTTTGTTATTTTTTTTTCTTTTTACTCGCGTGCTGGAACCGAATTCCTCCAAATTGCGTTACACGTTGCTAGTTTTATGGTAAAAGTGGCATTAGTAAATTGAAATTGAAATTGAAAACCTGTTATTTTTGCAATATTGGTAGTACATTGACGTTATAATTATAATGTATTGTACTAGTATATTAATGCATTAGCATTTATCCCTTCGTCTATTAATCCTAAATTTATGTAGAATCATTCCCGCAAGTATTAACGAAAATGTTCGTCGTCGTTGGATGAAGGCAATCTACATAACTATTAATCGAATTAGCGTTGAATTCATATATCAACTTTGAGTAGACGGGGCCCTCTGGGGAATATACGATAAGTACTTGGGGATAAAGTCTGGGATTGTCCGAATGCTTGTTTCTGAAGGCTACCATTGGCGTATAAGCAAAATCAGATTAATATTATATTATAATCTCTAAACTTCTCAATGTTTTTCATTATAATTCAAGTAGGTACGTTAAATTTATTAAATAGTAAATACGATAGCTAGCTGAAAGTTAAACTTAAATGTTGAAGGCTAAATATAAACCTGTGGTTTTCCCCTTAAAATCCCCTATGTGTATACGTATACATGGGAACTCAAGGAAGAAGCTAAACCGCACTTTTCCCTAGAGATAAGGCCGATAACAATATCCTGGACCGTCCTTTTTCAGAGCCAAAGGCCGGCCAGTCGCCTAATCTGATGGGCTGACGGCACCAATCTCCAGGAGAGTAAATATTATTGGGTTTTAGTGCATTCCCAGACTAAACATTATCCTCAAGATTAATCTTAATGAAGGATGGGGATAGAAAACGGTAAATTAGTTGCGTGAATCTGATAGGGGGGGATGATGATCGACTTTATTTGATGGTCGAAAAAAATCTAGGATATTCCGGATAAAATACGGTTTGTTTCTTCTTTATTCTTACTATCTAATTTTTGAAACGAAACTCATCTTATTGGTTTAGAAACAACACACTTTGTTGTTAAATAAAAGAAATAGATTGTACGTGCTTTTCGTTATACTCGGTTACTACACAGAGTGGCAAAATTGAAACATCGAAATATGACCGGCCCGGCCTTTGTATAAAGGGCAATAAAAATATTCTTAATTATGTTACACGTAGCAAAAATGAGTTTGCGTTCGTGTAATTCATTAAATATTTTACGCGCCGTTTTTTTCGTAACGGCTATTTAAAGTTGGGCCGTAATGGAAGCGTGAAAAAACAAATGAGTAATGTTTCACAGCCGCCACACATCAGATTACGCCGCAGGGACCGAAATTTCATATTTTCCCTATTACATGTTTTTTTTCCGGGTGTCGAAAATATCCGATACCTACATTTTTTAGAAGCAAAAAGGAAACAAAACGGTATGCGTAATAAAGTCAATTACGACGTGCAGTTTTTTAAATAAAATACTACAATGGTCGTTTGAAGCGAAATACGGCGTAGAATTGCTGAAAAAATTGACAGAACAAAATTAGCGTTCGTTTTACACTGCAAATCATTGCTTTTGAGCTCTATACCTAATTACAGATGCGACAACATGAACTGTAAGTAGGTACATTTTACATATTTTCTTGTTTTAAGGAATCCATATATTTTCATTTTTCCAATCAAAAACGTCATAAATTTTCTGACGAAGGAAATAAAATTTCACAAGCCACCATAACTGTCGTTTACAATATATCAATGTTGGGATTGCATTAACGAAGAGAATATAAAACTAAAGGAAGAGATGGAATTCAATTTGAATTCGCGCCGATGCATTGTCTCCTCAACCCCGTCACTTTTCAGGTTTTCCGATAAAAATTTTCGTATAATGCAGGTATCTGCATTTCCAGCATAAACGATGTGAAACACACCGACGGTTTTTCCGCATATCCATCTACAAAACAGAGCTTGAGCAATTCATCTACATTCACTTCCAAAAAAATCAATGATTTATCTCAAGTAGTTATATTTGTCTTCCTTCGCCACTTATTTCCGTTATTAGCAAAAAACCTACACAATATAATATTTAACTGTGCCGGCTATTAACCCAATTGAAATCGATAGCAAATAGAAGCAAAATGCATTCCTGTCGTAATTATTTCCTCTCGAAAAATCTACAAACAATTTGATGGATACTCGATACAACCACATCCCACGTCTCGCTCGCTGTGATTAAATCTTTTTTTTTTCGAAAGCTGTTTTGTTCCTTCGCCAACAAAAAAACGATAAATTCGTCAATCGTCAGACCGTTAATTCCAGAGAAAAGAGGGTGTGTGCGATTGTAGTGAGTTATTGTTAAAAACCGCAACGCGCTGTTTGTTAAATTGAATGATATTTGGAGATTCAAGGGCTGGCTGGGAGGGGAAATAAATTGATTAATTTTTAACGTTGATGTATTGCTCATTTTATTCATTGTATTTCTACAATAAAACATGCAGATGTAGAATTTTCACAATATTCTACAATCATCTGCGTCTTCTACTACATCTTGATCCTCCCAAATTATTTAATAAGTAATAGGTTCGGTATACTCGAGCTTATGTGGGTTATACAGGTGATGGATGTAATAGTGGTTTTATTTGATTTTGAATTTATCAATGTCTTGTCTGGCTTGACATATATTCAAAACGCGTCAGCCGTGCCATAAACAATATTAGACAATATTAACCGGCTTGTTAGGTTTCAGGATCGATTGACAGCAAAAGGATAGATATTGGAATTGTTAACAAGCTGATGTCTGCGCTCCTATCATAGGAAATGTTACGATAACATACTATACAGAGTGTTCTATCACATCTGGGATGAAGCAGTATCTTTGATTTGTTCCAAGTACCTAATATACATGGATTTTTAATATTAGCGCACTTTATAATTCTTGAAAACAATAGACTCATAAATAGTATTATTAGGGAAATATTGTTATCATACTTAACATATTATACATTAATCAATGCATGCATAATTGGCAATCAACTTTTCAGATATGCGTATCATTCCATCAAAGTGTAATAAGCAATCAATAGTTTAATATATGAAATAGGCTTTTATTCGGTGATTGAATCGAAATCGATGAATTGATTGATTCAATTAAAAAATACATCCTGTTTGCAAATTTCCGATATTTAATTTGTTCTAATGCTGGAGGAAATTTAAATACACTGCTTGACGGTATTACATTGAATCACTTTTTACTCTCCTCGGAAATAAAAAAAATCAATCGAACGAAACGAAACGAAAAATTGTAAGCATTTAACTTTCCTTTAATGGAAAAAAGGTTGTCGGAATCCGTTTGCAATTTAGTAGTGGATTTCAACCAAAGCCCAAGTTTTAATGGAAACAAATTGATTTGCTATTAATCAAAGGCCGAACAAACGCCTCGAAATTCCAAATTAATATCTTGTCTATTATAATGCATCTGATAAATCGCTGGAGCAGAGCCGAACTTACATCTATGATTGTTACTAATGCAAACATTGTGGTTCAAAGTGAGAACTTTGTGTGTACGTTTAATTAAATCGTGAATTCTGTTGTTTCATTACTTCATTCATAGTTTTAAACTTTCAAATTTCATCAAAAAAATTAATTCATGCAAAAATACATTTTTTGTAGTGTAGGTACAACCCAAATATTCACAAATTAAAATACTGCTTTAGTTTAAATCCAATCCTGTACTTGACCCAGTGCATTTTTAATAATCCCAGTTTTCGCCATTTCCTTCTTTTTCGAACATCCGACACATAAATCAGCATTATAAAAATAATTTCTTCAATTTATTTGCGGATTATTTTAAAATTTATCCACCTACCCAATGCACTCACACAAAATACTCTGCGAATATTGTAACGAAGCTGCATGTTTACCCAGGAATGTTGATTTATTCGGTCAATATTATGAAAATTATTGGCTCTGGAATAATTCATGATATACCTACTAGCAAGAAATTTTTTGTAGTTTTATTATAATTTTTGTGTCTTCGACGTACGTTTTATTGATAAATATTCATTTATTTTTTTTCAGTGCGACCATTGTGGGTTAAGTTAATTGGAGAAAATAAGCCCCTCTCAGCAGAGCAGACTTACGAATTGGGCTGTGAAGTAGTAGGATCAAGGCCGGCTCCGAAAATAACTTGGTGGAAAGGCAGTACACAGATGACGGATACGAGAGAAACGGTAAGTTTTTGGTACTATTTTATTAACTAGTTCGAGAAGTACCTACCTACGTAGAAATCTTTTTGAAAAAGTTGATTCTCAACTGTTGCATTTAAGGCCATCCCGCAAAGTAAAGCTATAAAGTGAGAACGAGAAGTAATTTTAGCTTCATTTTACGTCTTACCTGACACTAAAAGTTTCTAGGATGATATATTACATTTTTAGAGTATCGAATTAAATTTGCGAATAGATGTGGATATAGTGAAGTTAGGTTTTCAAACTTTCGCTCGTCTTCTACTATATAAAACATATATTGAAAACGATTTTATCATCAATGAATATGTATGTAGGTATGCGCAATATCCGAACTGAAAAAGGTAAAATATAGTAAGTTAATATGGAATTTTCTAACTTTAGTACCTACCTACCTCTGTATAAAATTTACCGTTAAATATTCGTAACAAATTTCTAGTACAACTTTTGAGTTAATTATGGCAACTTCTAATATCACCAAAATGAAAATTAATTTTTCGATCTCATGTACTCATTTTCCGCTATTCTTTATTTAAGCTTTAATACACTACCATTTTTTACTATATCAGGAAATGATCCCGACCTTTAATTATGCAATTAAGCCCGAACTCTCATAGTATAATACGCTAACGACTCCATTTGTTTTTACGACCGTAGCAGGTTCCTAAGTGAAAAAGAAATTTAATTAGGTTTTTCAAATCGTATTTTCAGCGCAGATAACAATCTAATTTGGTTTTTCTTTCACACATTTTTAATTAAATGAAGGAAGAACTTTAACGGATGGCCGTCGCGAAATCGTTTTTAAACAACGCCGAAGAATTGTTGTTGCCCTAAAGTTTTATCTAATGTCTCTACATTAATTTAACTACTGAATTACCTTCTAGCTTTTTAAAAAATAATTGTACTCGGGATAATACATAGTAAGTGCACTGCGCACATGGCCCTGACAGTTTCACCTATTCCTGTAGAAATACAGCTACTATAAATTTTTAAATTGAATTTCAAAGTAACAGAAAATGAGGATACATTGCCCTCGATATACGTACATTTCAAAAAAATTCGCCGAAGATTACATCCGATAATACAGAATTATTTTTACCTGGTGATGCACACACGATCATTTCGAAGTAAGTATACCTTGAGGCCATAACGGAGCTACCGAAAAATCCAATTTCCTACAATGGGGTATGAAGAAAATCTTTGTCTAAAATGCTACATACACTTATGGTTATGTTAGTTGAATTCACGGAATGGGAAATAAAGGAAGAGTTGTGATACAACCCTCCAGGGTCAATGAGCCGTTTTGCCTTAATTTTCACTCAACTAGGATGCTTGGCGAGATAGAACACGGATATCTGTCTTAATCGTCGATTAATTTATCTATCCAAAGTTCTCGCCTTACAGACGTACAATCTGTATGATATGAATTAAAAAATATACAACATCAAAAACTAATTAACTATTTTTAACATCATTTCATAAACTACATAGTATAGTCAAGTTCTCCTGTGCGGATAAAAGGCAAAAGCCGAAAATGTCGCTTGTAGATATAGAAGTGTTGTAACTCTATTAAAGTGGTTCCAAATTAAGTTATGGAGAAATAATAATGTATGTAACGCCTTTTTGCCCCAAAGTCCTGTGTAGTTGAACTCGATTAGATTTTACGGTTAATTGAAATTCTCCCGACTTCCTATCACAATGACCGACTGTAGGAAGTACACGTTTTATTTTTTACCTTTATTTCGTTAAAATGTCACAGCAAGACAAATTTAGCAAATTTCCTGGAACAAACTCGTTTGAATGTATTTCACGTTTCTACCGTCTAAGAAGAAAACTGGCGGAAGCTAGTCATTAAAATTATTCTATTGTGGACGGTATGTAAATTTTATCCAATGTGCAGGTCTGTATTTAAATTGTTTTTATGCGATACTCCTATAAGTATTAAATTCCGTTTTCGTTAGAATAATTATATTATTTTTGGTCTTTTTCATTAATAGAAGAACTTCAATTATAATGAGCACGAAATAATATTGTTTTCCTTTCTTTTTTATTTATTAAAACCAAATATTTAAAGCAATAAAATTATTCAGCGTTGGTATAAGAATGCAGTTTGTAAATTGTAATATGGAGATTCGGCTCTGTTTGAGTTCCTGTCTATTTTATTTCAGAAATATGGTAAAAAGGCAGTTAAATACAATATAGGCAATGACAAAGAATCCCCTATATGTGTGCATATAATCCAAGACAAGGTAATGGCAAAGAAAATTGGAAAATTTTACAGGCAATTTGGTTAGGGCAATTGGATTTTTCCATAAAAACCATTGTTTCTGCAATGATGATCAAATATTAACATTAAGAAAATTTCTGAACAAGACGTCAACCAAAAGTTTTACCTAATACATACTCATATTATTTTGTGGCTTTTCTTAATGAGTTCTTCATGTTTAAAAGGAACTTGCTAAAGCCGATGATAAAGGTCTTTTTAATTTAGAAATATGCGATTCTACTCAAGTTTTTATTCATAAATTTACGTTTCATTAACCTGCTATCTAATTTTCTAAAACACAGGAAAAAGTACATAATTATTTCATACCAGTGATTATTAACTTTCTGCCTAACTGCAGTAACTCAAAACTTTAGCTCGGTTTGTATATTAATTTTTATAACACACACACCTACCGTGGCTTGGATCGTTGGCTATTTTACAATTTTAATTACTTGCAAAACCCTTGGGCCTTATGAAACTTTTTAAATTAGATTCCCGACTGGCTTCCGGGAGCCGAATTGAAAAATCAATAGTGCCATTAACTCTTTAGGACCTCGAATTTTTCGCCAATTTTGGAAAATCACATAATTACGTGATCTGTTTGTTCTCCCTAAAAAAACACTTTTTCCCTTCCTCGAATTCCAGATATTATCGTTGATATTGAATTGGCAACAAATTTGGAAATTTGCTAGATATAGGAATAAAGTTGTTTTTCCACCTCAGGTAGGGGCTGCTAGACTGATTGATTTTTCAACAAAAAACATGACAAACGATTGCACATTCAATAATATCAATCTAAGTCGCTCCGAAACCCTTTGTGGAACACAAAATTTATATTAGAACTTGATATTTGCTTTTCCGCTAGGTGAGGGATACGTGTGGAGAAACTCGATTAAACGTCCGACGATAAAGATATAACTAATGGTAGTTTTTAGCGAATCTCGAAATGATTATCCATCAACGTCGAAAACTTTTATTTGGGTGTTTAGATTGATAGACTCGACAAATGGCTCGATGAACGTACAGGTGTACCTGTCAATATTTTTACGTAATTAAATTCCTTTATCAGTAATCTATACATACCTACACTATATTTAATGTATATGTTAGTAGTATTAAAAACCTTACACAAAGCTCACGTGTTTGTGAATTAGGGTTATATCGAAAAATTGTAATCCCAACGAAAAAACAGATGACCCACGAAATTAGGGCAAAGTAATAAAAACCAATTACGTGTAAAATGTCTACAACAAAACCCGTCGTCGGGCATATGGTGGTCCGAAATGGTGGAAATTAGTTCAGTAATATTGTTATACGTTAAAACGAACAGGGTTATTTCGAGTTTAATAGAAAATTATACGATGTAGTTGAACCTGATGATATTAAAATTCTTTATGCTTCGGGATGCACATTATTTTTTCTCGTCTAATCGAACGAAACCTTTTAGTAAAGGGTTTAAAATATTTGAAAACTAGAGAGATATTATTTAAAATATATTAATGAAAATGCTTTAAATGCTTATGCGTCGATATTTCAAATAATTCAAATTTCAATACCTACAGGAATTTTATTCATTTAACTAGGATTAACAAAATAACTACATATATTTTTTTATAAGCTACAATTACATTTATGTACATTTATAAATTTAAATATTGACCAGGCATGTATCTACTTTGTTATTATTTCGCGTTATTTTATGTCAAATTTCTACTTTTAATTAAATATGAACAAAAAATATTATGCCTACCGAGTTACAAATTTCTAAAAACACTAAGTACTTTACTAGTATATTTTTAAATATCCTTATCGTGTATCAGATATCCCCTTTAGTTCTCCCCAGTTGTTTCCCTAAATAAAAGTTGGTGAAAAGAAAAGAGTTATTAGTATCTACAGTAGAATGACATTTATACTTCTCGTTTCATTCATTCGATGATTTTATTAGTTAAAAATAAACACCAATGCAAAATAATGAAAATATATATGACTCATAAAACCTAATTGCAAACTACTCGCCTTTTAACTACTAACAGCTCATTTTTACATTCATTTTAGTAGTATTTTATTGGCTTTGTAGCGATAAATGCCTTTATTACTGGCTATTTTATTCTTGATGTTATAACTTTTGAAACAGTTTAATTGAATTGTTAATTTTTTTATTGATAGTCTTCAAGATATTCTCAAAAAATTATTCAAGAATATTTATTTCAATCGGAATGGGAGCAGTTATATTTTTTTAAACAAATTTAAGATAATACGTATATTAAAAGTTATAGTGACTACATTCAGTATTCGCACACTTGCGAAATCTGCTACAACTTTTATCGGTCGTAAACTGTAAATTTTTATGTCGGCCTTTATATATTTTCCTATATATGAGTCAAATTTTATATCCTTAAATAAATTATCGGTAACAAATGTTCCTCGAGCTCAGCAGTTCAAAACATTAGAGTTTCGACTTTAGTTATAACTCAGTTGCATTTTTACACAGCGCAGTTACTGGTAATGGTCGAACATTGTATGTGCTTATCATACCTATACAATAAATTTGCTCGAACTGTACCGTAATAATTTTAAATTAGATTAAAAATTAATCCAATAAATTAAACCAATTTAGGTAATACATACTTGGAATTCTTCCACGCCCCTGTTTCGAGCTGTTACATAAACATTTATAATTCAAAGCATACTTGTCCCCAATGATTAATTTAGGTTTTCCGAAAGGGCACGTTCATCATAATTTTCTGTTTTTCTCTGCTTTAAGAGTATGCTCTTTTTCCAGTCGAGAGTTTTAGAAAATTTCCTTGTCATCATTGGAAAAAATGCCTTTTTTGTTTGTTCAGCGAGTAAAACAGGGGGAACAGGGACCACGAACCCGGAGGAAATTTGTTAAATTTAATTAAAGAGGATCTCAGTCGCTGCAGATACAACAAGAGAGCACCGAAGGAGATTAAAATTTCTCCGAGGAGATGATGCGAACGTATATGTGAAGCATCTAGTTCAGGGAGATATGAAATCGTAAATTTTATGAAGGTAAATGGAACAATTCCAAATATGAATTCTACGAATATTATTATTCCATCATAAATATATTGCTCGAAATTGAAAAATTATGTTTTATCGTTTAAACGTAAACGTAATCGTATTTAAATTTAATTTATCACTACAACAAATTGTTTTTGATGAATTAAACGTCCATTATTGCAAAGGTAATTGCTTCAAGAAAGGATAAAATTCCTGATTCGTGACTAAAATAAAATTCAATTCACTAATTCCTGGCAACCCTAAATTAACGTCCAACAGTCCTTTTTTTCATAGTGCGCCGCGCCATTAATGTTAACCTTAACATTTTAACTGCCCCGTTTCTCCTGAGGGACAGTTTAGGAGTTAATTTTTTTTGGGAAAGGCGGCCGCTTGATTAGGCAGTTAGAGAAGATAATGAAGTACAAGTGAAAGTTCCACAGGGAACGGTCATCTTTCCAATTATCTTGACTCTTTTGAAGAATTTCGTGCTCGGAATAATAACGAGCCACACAAAGGGGATTGTAGAAAAAGAGGATAATTAAATTGCAGCCAATATTTTTACTTGATGTGATGGTTCAAGCAACGAACGAAAATCCGTTGTTTTTTTAATAATACGCGTTTCATCATAACCGTTAGGTAATAAGAATTTTTTCGGAGGTTTATTCAATAAATTTGACAAGAATGCGTAGGTATATGCTGCGGGAGAAATAAGAACTCTTAATTTTCTTCAAGTTTTCAGGATAAGTAACGAGTATACATTTTCCACTTCAGTTTTATATCTCTTGTACAGTGTTCTACGTATACACATTATGCATAATTTCACTTTACTTTGATGAAAAACCGTTGGAAATTGAATATTGTTAGATACTTGTTATCTTTGAATGTGAAAGTCTCTATTCTACAAAAACAATTTTATAATATAATTTCTATACATACGTATAAAATTGTTGCAGAAAATCTTCGCTATTCGTCTACAAAATTGTCTGCATTGGCATACGAATACAAGTTTTAACTTTCAATTTTCAGCCTATTTCCTTTTACAATGGAAGAAATATGTATATAGTTTCAATAAAAATGCCAACGACCACTCTCAACTTGAAAAATGTAGGACGAAGGCAAACAAACTTTATATTTTCTGCCATTACAGCATTGATAAGAATGCTTTACGATATCATTTATACTATTGTATGCACTGCAGTATCGACTTGGTACATATTATGAAAGATTTATGAATGCAAAAGTTTTGGTATATTCATTACGTAGTGTATATAGAGGCTAATTTAATTTTAAAGGTTTTTTTACTTTACCTTATTGGATTACTTTAGTGTTAATAAATAATATAACAAGCTTTTAAAGAACCGTTTTCTAAAAAATAAGAATTCGCTCGGTATTGACAAAACGAAAATAAAATCCTTCTAAATATTTCATCCGACGGATGTGCTTTATATATTTCATAAAAGCGGATAAAGCGTTGGATTAAGTTAAAAACCTTTTTTTACGCGTTTGCTGAAATATTGCAATATTTTTATTTCCTGAAAATATATCAAGCTACATAAAAAATCGTATATTCGAGAGATTAAAAGTTTTCTAATTCATTTACGAGGAATCGCATTTGTTTTAAACGTATTGCAAACGTAGATTTTTTGAAAGAGTCTGTAAAAAGTGGGTTCGGTAAAGAACCGATTCTTTTCTGGAAATTCCATTTATTAGAGAACGTCTCAAGGCATATATGTAGGGATATACATATTTGAATTCCAACAACGCATGCACCAGTGCTCTGCAACCGAATATTCTTTTTAAAAATTAAATCGTATTTCGCTATTTCTCGCCAAAGAAAATTTTCTGCTAAGCTTGCAGTTACAATAATATCCGATTCTACCAAATATTTGCTGAGGAAACATAATTTTGTCCCGTCTTTACCGGACAAATTCCCTCGGACAGTGTCATGACGTTTTCCTCGAGAAATTTATCGTTTGATCCCAGTCCTGCGAGCTTCTTTAAAAGGACCACTTTTATTATTTGTGTTGTTTTTGAAAATAAACTCTGACCGTGTTTGCTCTCGGCATCAATACTAAGGGATTGCTGCGGTATATCTGAAGACGCTAACGAAAATAGCTAATCAATTCGGCAATAAATAAAAAAATCGTTTGAATTGTGAATCGATTTTTATAAACCCCTCAAATGGAAATTCCTAATTGAAGTAAGAAAATTTAACGTGGATCCGTTTGTATGAATACATGTATGTATAGATTATTTATCTGAAAAATCCTTCCAATATAAAGACGGAGATGAATGATGTTGGCAGTTTGAAATTCATAATATATATAGGACTTTGCCGCATAGCCATCGGCCGTGTTAACTTTTGGATCACATTTTCTAAAAATACGGAGAACGTGCTTCGGTTGAGGTTTTCACCGCTTCACAAAAGACACGACTGCTCTCTCAACTATTCATATCCATACATGTGGAGAATTCCAAATATCCGCATATAAACGATGGGTGGTATTTTCTTCTAAAATACATAAACTCCTCTTGGTGATATTTACTAGTAATTACTGCCCACAACTCCTAATGATTTATTATACAGTACAGTACACTTATCTATTTTACCGACCTATTTGTAAAATTAGTATCGAATATAATTTTTGACCTACATTGTATAGATTGTTCACAAAAAATGGTTAGAAAAGAAACCATATAAATTACAAACCAAAGGCAATTCTTAAATTACTTACGAGTTATTTTTTCTGTCAAAGCATAATACAAAAAAGGAAAAATAAATAGAAACACTGGATGTTTTCGTTCCCTTTCTCGCAGATATCCCAATTTTTCCTAATTGAAAATGTGTTTAATACGAGCCATTTATTTTCACAATAATGCAATTTTTATATTCCTTCCGGACAGTTTCGAATTATTTATTACCCATAAAACAAAACCTGGTATCAACAGAAATTCGTTTTATATCCTTTAAGTGCAATTGTTGAAAATAAAATATGGAGGTATTCCGATATTTCAAACTTGTCGTTTTATTATTTACAGACCAGCCCTGATCTCAATACCACTACCAGCGTTCTCACATTCGTTCCGACTGTCGAGGACGGGGGCAAATACTTATCGTGCCGCGGCCAACAGGATCAGATCCACGACAGTGGCAAGGAGGACGGGTGGAAACTGGATATTCATCGTAAGTACTACAGAGAACAATTTAATGTTTTTTATTAGTCAAAATGTAATAAATTTGTTCGGTGGTCAGTACATTATTGAGTAGTAAAGTGTACTGGATTTTACGAGTATAGTCACTGGTATAAAAGTTTACAGGGGTTTTGTATTATTCAGAAAGGATTTAATTTTAGTGACCAGGAGACTATCCTCTCAATATTTACCTTCGCCAAAATCTTCTATTTCTAATAGGTGTAGCAATATCGACGATTTTGGCGAAGGATAATTTTAGATTACCTATAATATGTACCCAATGTAATACAACTTTTTTTAATTAGTGAAGTATTTACAAATATTCCACTACTGTAAATCAACTGTTTAATCCTCGTATACAGGTATGCCTAATTGCAAAAAATATAAACTTATCCGGTTCGATTTTCCGTCAGTTCATAGTTTGTCTGAGCAACGTTGACATTAACAAATAACCCTTCAGTGTTGATAATTCATTGCCCATATTAGTGTGACGAATGATACAAATCCAGCTTTATCTCGGACTAAATCCTCCTCCTATCTGGGAACGATTTCACCACTAAAGCTACGCTGAACAGGATCGAATTAGGCTTACCATGAACGTCATGAATGTCCAAACAAATTACCTTAGGAGTAAATAAAAATTTTGAGAAATTTTATTTAATAAGACTTCAAGAAATAATAGCTGGATTTTGTAAGCAACATTCGAAATTTTGGTGGGCGAATTGAGATATTAATGCGGCCTTAATTACTGTTTCCATGCTGATGTATTTTGGTAGTAATACAGATGATTAAATCAATCCTATTTCTACCTAATAGATACTAAAAATAATTTGGCGAATTTCGAATTCACGTTAGTGCAAAGGCAATAGGATCCGTCCGTTTAATGCCGGCTTCCGCACGTTCAATGCAAAATAAAGCCGAAGGGTAAATTTTGACTAATATTAGTGGCAGCCATTAAACATACTTGCACGAATTTCGCATTTTGCCTATTAATTTAGGTTTTGCATGGGACGGACTATTATATTACATTACGCTCAACTAATTTGTTTGTTTTTCATAATGAATTTTACGTTCAACGCTACGTCAAACTTGAAATTGCAGAATAAATCGCCAACGTACGCAATTTTGCATTTCACCGCAATCGGCGAATTAATTTGAATGTTGAATGAATTATCAGTTTAATGGGAGATTGCTCAGTTTGCCCCCGATTTTTTTTTCATTATCAATAATGCTCTAATAAATTGAATGACTCAATTAAGATTCGCAGAGCATATTAACTTGGCATTTCGCATGCTTGCAGTCTTGGCAAGTCGTAGGAAATTCAGATTGTAATCAAGCAGATGCCCTATCTACCTGTAATTAGATTTTATCAAATTATGTAATTCACCTGTAGCCGCAATGATAACTAACCCCATAAGACCTTAATTAATTCCGCTTACCTACCTATCGTATGTTATGTTAACAAACACAACTAGATAAAATTAGACACATATATCTATGTACATGCCCTATATCCAGCTACGTGCAGTTTATTACGTTTCAACAATTCTAACAATATATTACATAATAGTATAGCTAAGTTAGTAATGTTCCCCTTTGAATTCTCGTAAAAAAGTGTTTGTTGTGTACGCTTTTTAATAGCCTACCCGGCGAAAATCAGTTTTTTATCAGTTGAACGCCGATCTTTAAAAAAAAATAATAAATTATCTACATGTTCTGCGCGTTATCCATGCAGGATTTTATCCGGGAAATACACGAAGTTTATGTGAAGGATTAATAGCCGGTCATGCGAAAAATTGCTTCTTGCGAAAAGGCATCGAGCTGATGACGGGCGGCAGGAGGGCCTTTCAATCACGTCGAAAAGACGAAATCAGTCCATCTACATAAAACGGAAAGTTAGGTGTTTTGGCAAGTAACGTGGAAAATCGGAAAATTTCCTTTCATAATATGAGAGTATATATGACCACTTTCTTAAAGAAAAATAAGTAGATAGTATGATTCCTATAATGCAACTCATTAATATCTTTTTATCTTCTTCTCTGTTCAGAGTAAATAAGAAGAAATATCAGTAAGAGCAACAAGAGACTGCGTTAGGTTATAAAATTCGTAACTCATTACCTGCTACGGGTAGACAAAGCAGCAACTGTAGAGGAAATGAACATCCTTTTACATTCTACCGTTCTTTTGTGCCTTCGCATTTCGCATAATATAAAGTTTAGTTTTAAAATTATACTCTGACACCCCGGAATTTTATATGTATCTGCGAGCAGAATAGCAAGGGATGCATTAAAAACTGATGGCATAATAGTTTTGCGCTCGGTTTCCTTTCATCCTTTTTAGAGCCGGTGCCGGTGTAAGTAAGCCATTTTCTACCCTTCTTTGAAAAAAAACGTACTAAGTTCTACGAGAGTATTTAGGATAATATTAATAACGGGTCTCGTTTTTTTTAATTATATTAATTGTTAATTATATTAATTGTACATTTTAATTTGGTATTTAGTCATGTGTACTTGTAAAATTTCATATTATGTTCAGGATCAAAAATAAAATAGATTTCGTGTATTTTGATTAAAACTTATGGCGAACTTTTAAGCTGTGTAGGATAAATCAGACTGCCGTAAAATTAACATTCAAATTTAGTTAAAACAAGCCGACAGGATTTCACAAATTTCGCATCAGTACGCCGAACTATTTAAACTTGACAAGATAATATTCAATTAATTTAAATACCTACTTTTAACAAGTACTTTGCGAAGCTAAGCCGATTTAATAACTGCGAAAACTTCGCAACTTCTTTATTTTATTAAGCGGTTTAACTCCTTCGGAATAGATTGCTTTAATCTCTAATCATTTATTAATCCTATTGATATCATTTCAGACGTTCCATTGGTATCTCTCGAGCTCGGAAGTACCCTCAACGGCAGTACCATTAAAGAAGGGGTGGACGTTTATTTCGAATGCAACATTAAATCCAATCCGTGGGTATACAAAGTTAGTTGGCGACATAATGTGAGGAAAAAATGTTTTTTACAGAAAGAATTATTATAAGAAAAAATTTTTATTTTTTTAGGGCAAACAGCTCTACAACAATATTCATACAAATACTATTGTTAGCAACCAGAGCTTGGTGTTGCAATCCATTACAAGGGCGAGAACAGGACTTTACACTTGTGTAGGACATAATCAGGAAGGTGACGGTGAAAGCAATCCTGTGCAACTCGATGTCAAATGTGAGTAAACTATTTTAACATGTAAACCTTACGTTTGAATTTTACAACGTGCATTGTTTTTGAATGATGTAAACAAACAACAAAATTTTGACGTATTATTGTCATTGTATAACGCAAGTTTTGGAAGATTTTTATAAATTTTTGTTTCCTTCAACGAATATAATTAAGAACAAGTATAAATTTTAATAATATTTCTGTTATCACATATCGATTTTTGTCACGAAAAGTTATCCGCCCGTTTAAGAAGCTACTGTTTGTGAAAAAATGTCTACAAGACAAGAAAGATTCCACTCACCAACTAGGCAGTATATGGCGCCAGCTCAAACTCAAATAGACAATGTTATTCATGGCACTCCGCAGTACCACAATTCCAATCAACAGTATTATCCTCCCCAATACAACCATCAACTCGACTTATCATACGACAAAACATATTACAACGTTCCGAATGTACCACAAAATAGATTTGTAATGCCGGATCAATCCGTTCCTCAGTACCCTAATCCAAACGAATCATATTATCCCCATCATTCAAGTATGAAAATGGAATGCGGATCGCAATCCTGTAGAACCAATAACTGTTTAATGCAAAATAATCAGCCACAACAACAACCGAACCTGCAACAAGCGCAACCACAACCACAATATCAAGATTACAACTGGTACCAAACTAGAAATAGTCCAGCTGGGTACCAATACGTCAATCCCATTCAAATGCAAAATAACAATGCTTCTAATATGTGGCACTCGCAACAGAATCAAACGAGTTTACATCAAAAAGGCGACATTACTAATGCTGTAATTGATAACAAGAGAAACGTGATTTTCAACAACAATCCAACATCCAATAGAATACAAGAAAATATAAAAAGTAACACAGACGCCATGGCTGAAGTTCCAGACATGTTAAACAAAGGATCTATTGGGAAAAAATTGGTTGCTCCCTTGCTGCAAATTCGCAGAGAAAGATCTATTTCCCCGAAACCGAAAAAAAGATTTCCCACAACAATCGATAGAATGAATTAGGCTTTACATAAGAGGCTGTGTTTATATCATTTTACAGAATTTGCCAATTTTATTAGAACCTTACGTTTTGAAGTTATAGTTCTTTTTTAAAACCATGTCTGTTAATAAATTATTTTATTCTATTGACGTATAAAGCTGTTTTATTAATATTGTAACTCTTGATTTGGTTTGAATTTATAATTTATCTTTTCATTTTCATTAATTTTACATTTATCATTCTTAAAAAAAGCTTTATAAATTATTAAAAAAAATAGTGGCCTCTGCTTTCGGTGGTTATAGAGACAATATTCATAACCCAATATTACTTGTTAACAAAAAAAATACTGCACAAAAAAGCCAACTTATTTCCAGTCAAAAAGTTAATATTACCAACATTCACCCTAAAATTTTATGGTCATTTTTGGCATAGTTTGCTGGATTGAGTCAAGATTCTTGTTTATGTCAATTAATAGTTGACACTTTTCTAAGTAAAAAAAATTCAAGTTAACGACTTCACAGAGCATGAAATAATAAATTTCGACATAAATAAGGTATAATTTTAAAAATGGTTAAAGATAACGAGGAACCAGTAGCCAAAACTCCAACTTTTCCAAAAATCGTTCCTAAAAAGGAACCACCTTTTTATGGATCGCCCGCTTGGAGGAAATTAGGCAGGCGTCAACGAAGTTTCAACAGGGATAGTTCCCGACTCCAAACCATAATAACTCCAACAGCCAGTTGGATATCCTCTCAAGATAGTTATTGTAACGGATCGTTTGCATGCTTTCAACAACATCAGTTAGATCAACAGCCTGCACAGCTGTCACAATACATGCAGCCACAGCAGCAACAGCAATTGCTGCAAATGCAGCCATCGCCCATACAACAACAACCGCAGCAGCAACCCCAACAGCAAATACCCGTGCAACAACAACCACAGCAGCAACAGGCTTTACAGCAACAACAAATGCAGATGCAACAACAACAACAACAACAACCATCACCACAGCAAGTAATGCAGCAGCAACAGCAGCAACAGCAGCAACAGCAGCAACAGCAGCAGCAGCAGCAGCAACTACAACAGCAGCAGCAACTACAACATCAGCAACAACTACAACAGCAGCAACAACTACAACAGCAGCAACAACTACAACAGCAGCAACAACTACAACAGCAGCAACAGCAGCAGCAATTGTCGATGCAACAACAACAACCTCAATCACAGCAGCCCATGCAGCAACAATCACCAATGCAGGCTCAACAGCCGCTACAAATACAACAAGAACAACCAAATTTTTCATTAAACGCAGGAGTCCCGTTTTATCCTACTTATCCAAATTATCCGCTGCAAAATCCATATTTTATGGCAGATCAACAACCACCTCAGCAAGCTTACTTTCCTCAACAACAACAGCCATTCAACTTTTTTCCAGATTGCAAACAACCTAAAGTAGAAGCGACTTTTGATTACAATAATAATTTTCAAATGTTGCCTTGCGATCAAGACTATCTGCAGAGTATTTGCAAAAGACGATCCAGATCACTATCGCCCATGCCTCGATCTTCAATGCGATAGAACGAAAAATCGGCGTGGATTTTAGAGCAACATTATTTACTTGTTCTGTCATCGTTTATTATAAAAAATTATTTAGGCCTCTAAAGGAAAAGGATCATTTAATTTTTCGATTTTTCATGGCACAAAATAAAATTTGTTTATACTTTTACGACATTGATTGCTGCATTTTTTAAGCATGTTCAATATGTTTTAAAGAAAAATTAAAACGTTTATTTGATATAGCTTGATGGATTGTGTCTCAATGAGAATGAGGATAGTTTGTTTCTTAAACTGTTTCTTAAACTTCTTGATCCGGGATCCAGGGATAATCCAGGTTAGACTAGGTGTTACATAGAAAATATCAATATTATCACCAGGTAATTAAGGTATTCCCGGAAAGTATAGAAAAAAGAGGCGTTAATACTTTCTGTATTTTTTGCCAAAAAGAAGTAGGCAATACTCGTAAGTGGCGAAATAAAAAAACAGCTTTTTGCACGGCAAAATGCATTTCTGCACCACGTCGAGCAGATATTCCCGAAGTGGCGGAGCATGTGTAATTCCTATTGCGAATCCGCCGTTTGAGCGTTGGCAAGAAACATTTCAAACTTTCATTTCGTATGTTGATTTATGGCGAAAGTTTGCGTCTGATTTCGCGGGAGGCCGACGACTTTCTTACTTTTAACGGCAGCTTGTTTTCCAGTTATATTTTCTTAGTTTCAGTTCCTTCCATCCTCTCCGTAATGAAATATGACGATATCATGTGGGTAAAATATAAGTTACGTGATCGGAAATAGCGGCGTGACATTTCGCGGAAAACGGTCGAGGAAGTTTTGAAAGTAAATAAATCGGTTACGCATTTGCCAAAATATAGACCACGCATTCGAGAGAAGTTGAAATAAATCGGTTTTTTTATTCGCGCGGAAACCGCATAATAAATTAGTTGTGAACAGACCTACTTCTATAAGCTTTTGATTACGAATAGCAACTTCTAGAGTCTTACGGGTGTACAATTTTTAAAGCAATCCCGTTCGTTCAAATCTGGAAAGTTCCGTATCGACAAAGTTTCTCCATCACGGTGATGTTTCACGACGAGAAAAAAAGTTATTTTACAATTGACAAATACGCATAGTTGAACCCGCGGAGCCCGGAGGTAAAAAGGGTACACTTTATTTGTTATTTTGAAGGAGCAGTAAATCACATCCTTGAAACGGAGCCCTTAAGAGTACGTCCCTCCTTTTCGCAGATGATGGATGTGTTTGTGTATTTTTATTCTTAGCATTCCAGGTATATTTTTGCTGAACGTGATTTATACGATTTCTCTGCGAATATTAAACTTTTTGTATTATGCCGTTCAGTTTTTACTTATTCCTTGGAAGACTGTGATAAGGTTGATGATGTATGACAGCGAACCATTCTGATTCATTATTTATCGTTCGTCAAGGAATTCCGGTCTCATTTTATAATATCTATACATCACGAAGAAAAAAGTGAAGAAAATCTCTTTAATATAACGTTTCTTCCGCGTCGTTTCTTCCTTCAACGTTTTTCACACTTTCCTATTTCATAGTTGAAGGTTTCTTTCACGTATGAAAAACGCTATTTTCTATTACAGTTCTCCCTAATTGCCGTCCCGGCCAACCGAAGGTGTTCGGCGTTGCAAGACACGAAATCGCTCGCATCGTATGCGAGTTAGAGGGCAATCCCGATGACATCGAGTTCGTCTGGAAATTCAACAATTCAGCGGACACCTTCGACATCCCGAGGAGCAACATACACACGGAGAAAAGCCGCAGCGTCGCCAGTTATCAGCCGATGAGCGAAATGGATTACGGCACTCTCTTATGCTGGGGGAAAAACGAAATTGGCATGCAAAAGGAGCCGTGCGTTTTCAATATTAATCCCGCAGGTAAAACAACTGATATTCTTCTAAATAATTTATTATTTCATGAAGTAGACAATTGCATATACAGAGTGTTCTAGAATAAGTTTGGAAAAATTTAATAACGCTTTTTCTGACCGAAAAATTTGGTAAAGATCATTTTTTTGGTTATACCTATTCGGAAAAAGAAAACCTTTCTTATTAGAATGTTATTACATCTCAGACGACCCATGTTGTCTATTCTATATTTAAGGGTTGGGGTTACTTGGTAAAAGGGGTAAAATTTTCCGATTTTCCGATTTTCCAAAAATCAATTTTTCCTACCAGAAAACATTTCTATTCCCTTTGCAACGTGTTTCCTGTATAATATAATATACAGTTATAATATTCATTTGATGTTAATTTTCGCGTTTAACTGGGCTTTTCGCTTCTAAAAATTATCAACATTACCGCAGTTGATTCAAAGCGTCGAAATAATATGCAAATATTAATTATCAGGGGCATTTGGAATATAACGAAAATAATAGTACCGGATATACAAAGAGTAGGTGTTCATAATACCGATTTTAATGGAACATAAAATTGCACGGCAACGGGTTTGTTTGATATTAATATATTGACAATGGCTTTTTTTAATTATTTTTCATTGTCAATTCACAAGTATTGTATGTATAACCCTTATAACTTTTACATGATGCTATTATTTCAATAATTCAGTTGCAATGTGTTTCGTTTTAAAAAGAGTTTCGTTAATCCATCGGGCCCGTTGGAAATCTTAATGTTAATGAACCGTTAATATAACGTTTGGCATCCGTTTGCATACACGATCAAACTTCGTCATATTAAGATTTACATCATTGATGGAACTGATGGAACAACGTTTGAAATTTTGTTTAATTTAACAACACAATGCTGTTCTATTCGAGACGACGTTTCGATTAAAGCAGTTGATTAAAACAACATAGGTACTCGTGTCTATATTGCACTAATAATGAGCTTGAGTTTATAATTGCACTATATATAATAGACCTTGTATAGTAACTAAACTATATGGTAAAGAAAGCATTGAAACGTTGTCTAATTTCCTTACAAACTCTGAACATTAAATAACTTCTTGTTCGCATATTTAACATTAAATTGTTTGGCGTGGTATTTTCAAAATTAATGAACCATGCAGCCAATATCGAATATTGAATATTGAATGTACATTTTAATTTTCGCAATGCAATAAATATGAAATTAAACATGTTTATCTATCTAGGAGAGCCATTTTATCGACGGCACTTTTTCGTACCATATTTAGTTGATTTTGGCAAAAAAAACTCCAAATGAAAACGTTGGCGTTGGCGTGTATCTCGAAAGCAATAAATTCGTTATTAGAAATATTTTAAACGAGCACGTCAAAATAAAATTACGCGGATGAAAACGCAACTGGACACGTACACGGCGCCCGTAATTTGAGCAATAAAAACGAAATAATATTTCCAATCAGGTTTCAACGGCTATCAATTGAATATGTGCCAGAAATTATCGAGTCAAAACGGTGAAATCAATCAAAAGTTACGTGGGGCTTAAATAAAATCCGCAATGTCCATTAAATTTTTGGTGGACTTTTTTAATTGCCTGTCGATGGATTTAAGATTTCGATTCATTAATAAAATGATATTCTAATCCAGGAAAGCCGGATCCGCTTTCCAACTGCAGCATTGTAAATCAAACGGATAATTCTCTGAACGTCGAATGTAGCGAAGGATTCGACGGGGGTCTGCAACAGGAATTCGTCATGGAAGTGTTCGATATGGCGACTCGCAAACTGGTAAGCAACGTTTCCTCGAGAATTCCGACTTTCACGGTAGGAGGACTCGAATCGGGAGTGGGTTTCGAAATTGGATTGTACGCGTCCAACAAAAAAGGCAGAAGCACCGTCAGTCGATTGCAAGCGTATACGTTGAAATCCGCCGAAAAACATACGGGTAAGTGATTTTTTATTCATTCCGGTTAGATATAATAAGGTTGGATTAGCGGGAGTAGAGAAAGGAAGGGATTTTCTACGCTTTTATTTGTTCTCTGATTTCATTTATTAAAAATTTAGTAGAGCACCTATTGGAATTACAGCGCCGGTATCTCGTAAATCTTTGCTTTTGGCCAGGCTTGCCTATCTAGATCCAACTATTACGGTTTAATATTTACTCCTGGCCGGAGTAACCTCGAAATCTTGATTAATTTTACATTAATCGAAGAGCAAATACAATTTAGTCTATATTAGTTTCCACGGAAGCCTTTAATCTTACTACATTATGGCGTTTGCTCATGAAAAATAAATGTAATACCCTCAATGCATCATTCAACGTCGTTCTGAAAAAAGAAAAATCCGATTAAACCGCGAACTTATGTCGAGTAAAGTAAAAATATATCTACTTGTAAATGAAAATTAATTAGTTCCGGAAAATAAAATTTTCAGCAAATTGCAAGAAATATTTTCCTATAATTACTTACTGCTTTTATATTTAAAAATATAATCAATGGGTATTTTTAATTTGTTCAAAAAAAACCCCGCCGCTGCTTTTCTCGCCTAGTGTCCTAATTATATTTTGTGTATTGGGTATGAATTTTGGCTTTGTGAAGGTCTGAAATAGGCCGTGATTATAATTGTGGAGCCCTATGAAAGGAGGCCTACAGGCCATTCAAATGTTTGGGTAATTATCATCAGAAATGAAGGTCTAATGGAATCTTAGATGGAATGTTTAACTTTGTAAATCACGAGAAACTAGAATTTGACATTCGATGAATCCAAATTACCTAAATTAGCGTTTCAGATTAGACACAACCAACAAATTGTTAAATTACATTAATTTTATTAGCGTTTAATAACCATGAATTTGCAGTTTTTTTATTTTATGTGTGAGATGTTTGTTGATTTAAATTATTTTAATTTCCGCGATTACTTCGGAATTGTAACTGATTATTCGCAGTAATAATTCCTGAATATAGTACCTACGTTCATTTAAAACATTAATCAACCATTAAAACGGTTGTTAATATTTTAGAGGGAATGTTTCAGTTTGTAGCATCAGAAATCACAAATAAACCGAGTTAAAATCGCATATGTATTTAAAATATTTATTTGACCAGTTTATTCCGTAAATTTTTTATTGAATTAATTTTATTGAACTTAAAAACTAGGTTAATATCAATTTTACCTAATATACTTTTTACCCCGTTGATACACGTATTAAAAATAATGTACATATTTTAGTCCAACCTACATTATAAAAATCCTTTATTACACGGTTTCAGATACACGCAATAAAATAATTATAAACAAACTGTTCTGCGTTGTAAATTATATTCAACCCTGCATAAACCCCATCGTTAACGAAATATTGTGATTAGCATTTATTTCAATTACAACCATTTTTGGAAATAACAAGGCGGACTAATATATTTTTTTTGTCGATTCTAATCTCTAAGTAATCTAAAAATAATTCACACAATTCATTAATGTCCAGTCGGATCAATTGATTCGTTCACTGATTCATAAGAGATTTATTGCTATTGCAATTTCGTACTGCAAGCTCGGGTCGAAGGCGAGAAAAAATGTATTCCGAAGGAATTGAATTGAAATTAAATTTCATTATGAAAAACAACCAACCACTTCTATTTGATGCTAGTTGCTGTTCTATTTTCTAGACCCACTATACAACATTAAACCAACACCGCCAGAAAACTGCACAATTCGCTACCAAACACGCTATTACCTTCAAGTGAGCTGCCAATTGGCAAATCACTTGGTCCATCCATCGAACGTTTACTTAATGCAAGTTTACGAAGCCAACAGTCGACTTTTAGTCAGCACTGCCACCTCACAAGATCCCGCCGAAATAACGGTCGATAATTTACCAAACGTATCCGAAGATCTATTGATATTTATAAGAACCATGAACGCTAGATCCATTACGAGCGATGCCAATATTATTTTCGTACCAGCTGTAGATAGATACAAGTCTGGTGGTAAGTGTGCTGTTTGTGGTTAGGTGTTGGGATGGATGTTGGAATTGTACGTAAACCATTTGCATGTCAAATTAGTCGATACCCTACCAATTTGTGCCCATCGCCGATCAATAACCAATCGGCGTTGCGTTAATTTTCGCTTCGTTATTTTTATAGCTTCCACGCCGGTTCTTCTGCAGATCACGCCGCTGCTGGCGGCTCTCATCGGCGTCGTGGCAGCGCTAATTCTGATCGCTATTACCATCGTCGTTGTGATTCGGCTGCGAGGCGGCGGCGAGCAGGACGACAAAGATTACGATGACGGCGGGCTCGGCTCAGCAGGACGTCGATGCGTTGCAGGAAACAGCGATAAAGCCAGCACTGAACCCCTCAACAAGGTATGTTATTTTCTTAAAATATAAATTGCTTTTTCTCCCAAACACCCTGTATGTACACCTTACACCCTAAGCGAGCTAATATCGAACGAACCGTTCTGATATCTCCGCTTATCTTTGAAACAGGACCTCAACGACAGCGTAGATAGCTTAGAGGAAAAAAATCCGGACATTATACCCCAAAACAACGGCGAAGATGAATATCAGGACGAGGAGAGGGCCTTTGAGCGATTGAATAACACAACGTTGAGGGTCTACAACAGAATGCAAAGTCCGAACACGCAAATGAAAAATAACGGGTCCTACGATGCTTACGGTAACAAGATGGTAAGTGGTTGCGAATGGAGTAAAATGCTTTATTAAAATATTAATGCCGCAAGTTTTTGCATGATTTTTTTATTATATTCTACTAATTGTAATAACAAAATTAAGTGCATTTTCTCGCTAAAAAGAACGCCATTTCTTAACCCTTTAAATGGTTGTTTAACTTTGTATGTTCTTAATATAGAGTTAAAGAATCTATCTGATGATTTTAACTTTTAATACACAGTGACAAAAAAGTAGCCGGAAAATTGGAATACAACGCAAAATTCCTAATCAAGAATTTTTCTTGAATCACCTTTAAAATATGCTCCTCTTGAAGCGATACACATAGTCAGACGCCATTTCCAAAGCCCTAAGACAAAGCTCTATCGGAACGAGCAGAGCCTCAATTTACAGCATGTCTGATTGGCTGAGCAAAATCAAACGAGCGGTTTCACTAGAGATATTGAAGTCAAGTGCTACTTCACTAATACTAGCATGATGATTTTCGCACTTAATTTCCTTCATTTTCTCGCCGTTATCATTGATTGAAGTGGTCGAATTTCATCTCGAACGAGGCAACTCTTTAGCGATCTCCCGACTGTCTTTAAAAATTTTGCACCTCTCGTAAATATGGATTTTCGATAAAACAGAGTCACCTTAAGCAATTGCAAAATTAGTGCAACTGAGATGAACTAATTCAATCAGCTGCTACAACCAAACTGATTGAGAAATCTCTCTAATTTTTTGCATGCTAGTTACCGTTAAAACAGTGTTACCTACAACAGAAACTTGAAATAGTTAAAAATATTAAATGCAGGTAATTTAAATCAGAATTTCCGGTTACTTTTTTGTCAGAAGATAGTTTTGAATAATTGAATAACCTCCGGTATCAAGCTCTTTTAAATTGCTTGCGTATCAAAAGCTAAGCCAGCATCTGATCTAACATCGCCCCCCGTCCATCACACAAGAACCCAGCTAGACTAACTTGCTTTCAGAGCGACGAAATAACGTACGCTGAATTATCTATCGCAAATCAACAGATGCCGCAGGTGATCTACAATCAACAGTGCATTCCCATGTCGGTGATCAGGCGCCAGGAGCCCACCGTCTACGCTCAAATAGACGTAAAGCGTATGATGCCGCACAACATGCAAACGCTGGCCCCGCCGAAGCACTCTTCGTTCCAGACGTTGCACCATCCGCACGTACAGCCCTACATACAGAGACCAATACGGGACGATGGGTCTATTAGTTCCGAAACGCCGTTGTTGAATCCCAGAGACACGGGGGTAAGAATTAAAATGGTTGTTAAAAAAGGCGAACGCCAATTCAATACTTTCTTACAACAGATAAACTATCGGAGACCTTAAATATGAGCCAATTGAGTACCAAACACTATTCGAAATAGGCCAATTTCTGGTATTTCTGGTAATTAATTTAGCCCTTCTTCTTAGTATCTCGGTATTATTAGATTTTCCTATCCTCATTACAATGTGTTCTATCCTCATTGGTTTAAGGACGAAGTGTTGAATTTGCGTGCACCCGTTAGAAAAGCCTCCAAAATATTGTAAATCACCAGAAATAATCATCTCCAACATATTGCAATGTGATACTATTAAAATTTCCAGGCTCTACAATCATTGCTGGATGTTAACAATTCCAGAACGCCCACCGTTACATCGACTTTGCCACGAACTGTGACAGCGACTCGATTTTGACCTAGTTAATTGAAGGATTTAGAAGAACTGGTATATTTGTAAGGACTTTTAATTGTTGATACGACTTAATAGGTGTTACCGTCTTATATAGTAAGTGTTTCTTGTCGAATGTTTTTATGATAAATGTTTTTATTGTTCCGTTTTATTTAGACGAAAAAAATCGACGTTGATCCAGGAGGTCTATACACAATCCTAATCACAATTTAAAAATTACACTGATTAGTTTCTATTTGCAGCGCTCTTTAGTACACCGATTTTTTAACTTTCAAATAAAATCCTAATAGATAAAAGTAACATTAGATAATTAGAATGTGTATATTAGTTAAAACTGATACAACATAAATTAAAATAGCATAGTAGAATCTTTTACCTAAAAGGCACTTTATTTGAAGATGTAAGATTTCTTAAAGACAAATTGATCTAGTCACTGTGTTTTCATATTGAAACACTTGCAACCTCTTGTGTAGGCTTCTGGATTCTCGGCGAATTAATGTTTATGTGCAATTCGTTTGATACCTGTACGAAATAGTAGTTTTTTCTTACTAAATTTTATTAGGAGTATTTTATAAATTACTGTTAATATTTTTTTAGTTTATATTTTATAGAGTGTACAATTTCAAGCTAAAGACAATTATGCGGCTGCCGAGAGCGGCGGACCCAATCCGAATTTTGTGCAATGTGTTCAAAATTTGGTTGATTATTTTGTATTTGAAATGTTTAATGAATGTTAGAAGGTTTTATACGAATTTTGGACACATTATTCTTGCGTATCTATCGACACTGAATGCGCGTGGGAAACCGAAATAAACCTCTTGATATAGTGGTGAATTATGTAGAATTATATTATTTTGGGTTTCACCTATACGCCCTGTTTGCTCGATTTTTATGCAAGACACCCCGTGTATGTCCTTTTTGTATATAGGAAAAAATACCGATGTTTTTATAACTCTGACATAATTCAATTAATATTTAACCCGTCGTGAAAAAGTTCGTTGTTAAATTGTGTTATAAAATTCCTTTTTTTTACAACACTAAAATAGTTTATTTTCATGTAGATTTTTTTGTACTTAAAAAACTTGGGTTAATATTAAGAAAGTTGACGTTATTTACATGTTCGTATTATTTCAGAGAGTTGTCTTGAATTAATATTTTACAGTTTCTTTGACGATCTATATAAAACACTAAGTCATAACTAAAAGATATGATATAAAATAAAATCTAAGGATTATAAAAAATCTAAATGTTGGATGTCCGTCCAATGTTTTTTTATACTTTGGAAAATGTAAAAAGTATAAATGCATGTGATTAATCTGAATGTATTTTCTGGGATTTAATATTTGAGTAAACGTATTCATTAATGTGCGCCTAACTAAAGCTACCCCATGAAGATCCTTTCAGGTGTGTGTAGGTATAAGTAAATGTAAATATTTGTACTGATTATGATACATTCCTTTTTAGCGTATTTTTTGTACATTATTTTTAAAAATTTGTTGGTTAGTTTTCTCACCTGTTGATAACATTTTTCCTCTCAAGTTTATAAAAAACGATTATTAATGACAATTTAAGAAGTATTCTTTAATCATCTCGTTAATTTTTTTTTTAATTTTTCAAATGTAACTCGTTAATAATTTATAAGCAGTGCATTAACTTCTTTAAAATGTGTTTAAATCTATAAAATTAAAATATATTTTTAATAATTGTTCCAAATCTATTAAAGTTTTAATTCAAATTAATATAAACTTAATAAAAATTCATTTCAGTTTGCTATAATCTCTAACTGTAAATATGTACATAATATGCTCAAAGTGAAATTCATTTTCTTCTGTGTTCACTTGGTTGAAATAAATGGCCAAAATTTTTATTGTTATTGTTTATAATGTCTATTAACTTGACAATAAGGATGTAATTTTTAGCTTTTCTGAATTCGCAATCTTTTAAACGAGATGAAATTAAAAAAATTTAAAGTGGCCTTGTCTATCAAACATAGGTAATTTATTTGTGTAATGTTACGATGCCATAGGTTTTTGTATATAATATGTGTTGTATTATCATGTATGTAATTATTCCCAAATTATCAAAAATAAAGACATTATAGAAAATATTTCTTTTGAGAACCCAGATGCTCTCTCACAAATCCCTCCAACACCACTTAAAGATAACTAGATAGAGAGATTAAAAGTATTTAAGTTAGTAATTTATAATTTTTTAGTATCCAACACTGTTAAAATTTTCAAATCTAAAATGTGTCATTAATCACATTTCCATCAAACAACTAAAAAAAAAATTGTCATAAAACCACAAAAAATACATTAAAAATTTTTGGTTCCGAATTCGCATACGATCGATTCCAAAAGACTGTAAAAAATGGAAACGGAGTACATCAACATCTGCAGATGCCCCCCGAGGAAGATGAAGCCGCCCAAAATCCCCGCAGATGCGGGCCCGGCACCGGAACCGGCTAGCTGCGTTCCCTTGGACTGCATTTGCATGTCGATATGCAAGAAATGCAGGTGCGTCCAGTGCAAGGCGGCGATGCCGAATCAAATCAAAGAAAAGAGAACTTGCAGGCCTGCTAAATCTCAAAATACTCAGCTTAATACGAAAGCATAATGTATGTACCGGCTCTATGTAAGATAATTAACATGTGGCTATTATACAAATAAGGAATAAACGAGTGAGGAACTAGCAAGAGTTTTTTTAGTACCTATGCACGTTTGTAATGCTCCGTAAATTTAGTGATTAGCTTTTTAAACTTTGCAAAATTGGGAGGAATTTAAAGCATGTGCCTCATTTCAAAAGGGTTTAACACATTTTATAATTTCATTCATAACTTCGCAACAACTCACCAATATTTTTTACAATTTGCAAACTTTTCTGCAATTATTTTCTATCATAACAAAAGAATGTTAATAAAAACCAGAATGAAAAAGTATAAAATATGTTTTTTTATTTGCACAATTTTATTATTTGTGCAGGAATAATGTTTTCAAAATAGATGATATTTAAAAAAAACATGATATACAAAGCTAATTCGGTTTGTGCAAGTCATGATCATACATTTACACCACAATAAATATGGTATATTCATTATTTCAAGAAAACTTTAGAGCAAATTTTAGTTAAATTATGCTATACGACAAATTCTTGTTACCCAATGAATGATAAATATTGAATAAACATTTAAATACCACTAGTGAACTTAAAAATAAACAAATTGTTATACTAATCGTAAAATTCCTGGTAATAAAATTACCAAGTGGTATTCAATAAGTTAAAACAAACGTAAAGAAATAATAAGTTAAATTTTATCTAAATTAGTCGTTTTTTATATTAACGGAAAGTAATAACACAATTAAATACAATAAGTTTGGTTTTAATAAATTCAGCTTGTAATTATGTACATAATTATTATTTATCAACGTATTATTCAACGCTTTTCACGATTTCTCAAATAATTGTTAATAATTTAAATATTTTAAATACAAGCATTTTCACGGTTTTTTATTTATATAAGTAGAGCTTTGTTACATACAGATACGATATGTATATATGAAAGTATTAAGCCTCGCGCAAATCAGAGCGGCCTTTAATTATTATCCAGTCTACGTCACGTAAATTCGAAATGAAAAGGCATACATACAGTCTTAAATATTCATTGTTATTTTCCTCGTCGAAGTTAAAATTGTAAGGTCTATGAAAAAAGTAAAATAATAAGCATGTTCAAACAACTTTTAACAACAATGGGTGTTCTGCTTTTTCGATTTATGTCGCCCTATTTGGAAGCCGAAGTGAATTATGTGGAAAATTTGTGGACAGTTTCATATCAAAAATCTGTTAATTACTCGTTTCCCACGAGCTCCATCAAGCATAAACCGTATACGAATTCATCTCCTAGAAGTAAGTATATTAATATCCAAGTTTAAACTTATCTAAACGGGTATTCGTTGTTTTATTGAATATTTTAAGAGAAATTTTTGGGGATTTTTTATAGAATACTCTTCAATAATGAAATACATATTTGGAAAGTATCTAAAAGGGTTAAAGAGATTTAGATTTATTTAGATTTCGGAGTTAAAACGTTTTAACCATGTATTTAGGTGAATTTAGATTTTTTTAATATGTATTTTTTACTTAATTAGAATTGTAAATCATTTAAAATAGGCTCTTTAATAGTGTTTTTAAGGAAAATTTTAATTTCATTTTATAATTTCATAAAGTTTGTGCTTCGAGGGTTACTTGACCTTTTAAAATTATTTTTGAAACCTCTGGATCAAAGATTTTAAAATGATTCATGTAGATAATACGCAATAATTCTCACTAAATAATAACTAAGCATACCTCCATGTTCATTTATTGAAGGTGTAAATTGCTTTATGAATCAATGGGTAAATCATTTATTCGGTTAGTAACCTCTGCAATTTTATAATATACTTACAAATTGTTGGGTGAAATATTTCAGTTTAAAATTCATATAATAATAATTAAAACATTTGGTAATCCATATGAATGCTAGACGTTATGAATACATAATAATGATAATTTTCACATATAGTAAAAAAATATGTACAGAATTTCATTAAAATTTTTAGGGTCAGAGTGAGAAATATTCTGTTAATTTTTATTCTACTTCATAAAGTATGTACAAATACATAAAATTTCTCTCTAAAATCACCGGAAATAATTCCAATTGCAACTTTCACATGGACTCCCAGATTATGAAAAACATCATTTCAGACTTCGGCGAGTACGATTTCGTAGTAATAGGGGCCGGCTCGGCGGGGGCGGTCATCGCCAGCCGCCTATCCGAAGTGGCCCACTGGAAAATCCTGGTTATAGAAGCCGGTGAATGGGGAAACGACCTGACCAGCATAACGAGCTCAGCGTACAAGATCACCCTTATGAGCGATTACAATTGGGGTTACTACAGTATACCACAGGAAAATAGTTGTTTAGGTAAAAACCAAAGCGCTAAAAAGAAATAATATAATTTATGGGAGAAAAATTTTAAGGTTTCGAGGAAAACCGTTGCCCTCATCCTAGAGGAAAAGGAGTCGGAGGTACGTCGTTGCTAAATGCCCTGATCTACATAAGAGGTAACAGGAGAGATTTCGATACGTGGTGTAATATGGGAAATCCCGGTTGGTGTTACGAAGACGTCCTGCCATTTTTTCTGAAATCCGAAAACTACCATCACACAGATCCTAAGGCGCCAGTAGAGTGGATTTACCATGGGAGATCCGGTCCACTGTGGGTGGAACAACCCATGCCCAGACACCTCCACCATAAGGTCAGTCACAAGGCATGGTTTTATCCTAATCACATTCCAATCCCCACCAACAAATTTCAATAAACGTCAGATTCGCTATAAGTGTTTTTGGTTGCTCAAGCATATCCTCCTTTCGTCACACTTCCCTGCTGCAGTTCTGATTAACATTCCCACGCATTTTCAGATATTTCTGAAAGCAAACGAAGAGATGGGATACACCATCAGGGATGTAAACGGGGAATCCCAAATGGGAGCGATGCCGTTTCAAATCAACACAAGAATAGGCAGGCGGCAGGACAGCGGTACGGCCTTCCTGAAACCCGTTCAAAATAGAGGAAACCTGAAAATCATGACAGAAAGTTTGGCGACAAAAATTATCTTCGACTCGAGCAAAACCGCTAGGCAGGTACTGTTCCTGCACAAAGGAATATCGTACAGAGTAAACGTTAGGAAAGAAGTGATCGTGTCAGCAGGAGCAATTAATACCCCTCAGTTACTGATGTTGTCGGGAATAGGACCTGCTAAACATTTAAAAGAACTTGGTAGAGTATTCATTTTTACTACTATGTCAAATTTCCATAACATCTTGATCATCCTTACAGGTATCGATGTAATCAGCGACCTTCCAGTAGGAGAATCGTATTCTGATCACCTCCAAATACACGGCTTAGTCTTCTCCAGCAACCTCTCGGAGCCCATCCGGAGTTTCCGCGACTCCATCCGCGAGTTCTTGTTCGAAGGAAGAGGAGATTTGGCGGAAGCGGTACCAACCCAAGCTTTGGGTTACTACAAAACCAAATTGGGAAAAATCGAAAGGTACCCCGACCTGGAGCTCAGTTTCCAAGACACCAACCAAACCTCAGACGCTCTCAGCAGAAGCTACAGATGGAGGCCGGAGGTGATGAAGTACATTGGTGGAGTAAACGCTGACAGTTCATTTCAAATATTCGCCACTCCGCTTCACACTAGATCCGTGGGGACCGTGAGGTTGAAGAACAACGATCCCCTGCAATATCCTCTTATTAATCCTAATATTCTGTCGGATAAGGAAGGCCACGATTTCGAACTTGTTTACGAGAGTATCCAGGTGGCCCTGAACTTGACCAAACAGGAGGCTTTTAGAAAAATTAACACGAAATTCGAGCATAAACAATTACCTCAGTGCAAGGAGTTCGAGTTTATGAGCAAGGATTATTGGAGATGCGCTAGTAAGTTTGTGGTGAATCACAACAATCATCCGGTCAGCACGTGCAAAATGGGACCGAATTCTAAAGAGCACGTAGTGGATCATAAGTTATCGGTGCATGGAGTGAGAAATTTAAGGATAGCTGATGCAAGTGTTATACCGATTTCGACGTCTTCTCATATTAATGCAATTTGTTATCTCATTGGAGAGAAAGGGGCTGATATTTTGAAGAAGAACTGGATAAAGGAGTGGTAGTTGAAAATGTGTACCCTTGTTGTATACTGAAATATTTGCTGTTGTTGAAGAAATGAAGGATATAAGATGAGTTAGGAATATTACAAAGTGAGCGGTATAAGTGATTTATTTTACCACATTTTTCTGCGCATTTGATAAGAAAAAGTAAGTTTTTAAACAAATAAAAATACACATTGATTGTATCATTGTGATCAACTCGATTATGAAAAAAATTTTCCTCTACAACGGAGATAACAAATAACCTTTAAACAATTTATCTATTAAATAAATTGTTTAATTAACTAACAAGCTGTTCAAATAAGAAAAATTTTTGTGTTTTTTTATTAATTTGACAACATTTTTTGAATAGATCGTGTATTTTTAAAATAAACAAAACATCACATCTCAGTCCTAAATTATGAAATTTTCGTTGATATTTTACACTGATAATGTTGTTAACATTATCAACCTTCCTACAATCGATAAGTTTAATAAGAAAACACTAATTATTGAAAGTGTAGATATGATAACTTAATCACCTGTTATTAGTCAGTTTAGACATGCATTCCAGTAACAAGACACTTGTTTTACAAGACAATACTAATATTTATGATGTAATAGAAAAAATCGTGGAAAACCCGAATTATGATGAGCCGTTTTTCATTTGCGACATCGACCAACTCATATGGAATGTCGAAAATTGGAAAAGGCTTATGCCTAGAGTTGAAATATTTTACGGTAAGTTCTTCAAAACTATACATCAATACAGCAAAACACCCTACTACACCACCTACAAAACGTATTTTTGCGCTGTTCTACAGCTGTTAAATGCAACTACAACCGAGAAGTGTTAGAAACATTCGCAGCTCTCGACCTAGGTTTCGACTGCGCTACCATGGACGAGATCAGTAAAATTATCGCCCTGGATGTTTCCCCGAATAAAATAGTCTTCTCCAACCCCACTAAAATTATAGAGCATCTCGAATACGCCAAACAAACCGGAGTTAGGGCTATGACTTTCGACAACGAGGAAGAACTGTACAAAATTAAAAAACACTACCCTGAAGCAGAGTAAGTCGAAATTTTTATAACAAATTTCACAATTTCGGGATTTTTTATGGTTTAACCCGGTTACTCCAGGTTATTGTTGAGGATTAGATGCGACGACGAATCGGCCAAATATGTACTCGGTAAAAAATTTGGAGTACTCCCTGGTAGTGAAGCTTTGGATTTACTGAGGTTAGCTAAGCAACTCGAATTAACTATTATTGGTGTACATTTTCACGTTGGATCCGGCTGTTCAGATTATTACGCCTATTACAAAGCCTTATGTGCCGCAAAGGGGGTATTCGACGCTGCTATCGAATTAGGTTTTCCTGTAAAACTAATTGATATCGGCGGGGGTTACCCGGGAGAAACCATTAATCCAATCGATAAGGTACAGCTAGCTTTATTTTATTTAATTGAACCTATTGACTTGTTGTACGGCCAATTAATCTACAATAAAACGAGCTGTTTTCTAATAAATGTACAATTTTCAGATAGCTGAAACCACAAATGCAGGCTTACTGGACAATTTTCCCGATTTATCGGTGAAAATAATCGCTGAACCGGGAAAATATTGTTGCAATACACCCTACAAATTGGTAACACAAATCCATTCAAAGAAAATAGTGATTGATGAAAATAACAAAAAAATTCGAATGTATTATGTGGACGTGAACGTTTATAACAGTCTATTTTCTGTACTTTTCGGCGAATATTACAAATTTCGTCCTGTTTGTGAGAATAAAAACGCACAGGTAAACAAAGTTTTGTTTCGAAAATCTGTAACAGGTGGCATCGAACAATCACAATTTTGTTATTTTTAGCTGCACCCTTGTATAATATGGGGTTCAACCTCTGACGTCAATGACAAAATAACCGATAAATTCGATTATTTACCAGATCTCAACATAGGCGATTGGTTAATAGTAGAAGAAACTGGCGCTTATACAGTATCGATATCTTGCGAATATAATGGTTTATCAATGCCCAAATCATGCGCTGTAATCAGCAAAAAGAATTGGTAAGAACAATATTGGTAAGGTGTTTGCCAGAATTTGACTATTTATAAATATTTCAGGTCCTTTTTAACAACGAAAGCGCCTAAACCGATACGAAAAGAGAAATTTACATTCTCTTTAAATGATTTTTTAAAAGATCGGGATCAACCTGCGATTTTCAGAAAAATATATTTTTAATTTTTTATAACTAAAACTGTTTTGAGGTAGCAGAAAATAAGATTAAGCATAATTTTTAGCATAAAGCGTAAATAAAGTTTAAAAAATAGATAAAGCAAGAATGTGCTTATTTTTTAAAATATGTTTTTTTGTATAGATATGCAGGCATATTACCTATACCTACACTAATTGAAAGCATAAGTACCTACTAATTAAAGCGACTGTACCTTAATTAACACACTTTTTATCAGTCTTACTTATTGGTAACAAAGCGGTAGTAATATATAAAGAGAATGAACCTATGAAAATACGTACATGAAAATGTACAACGTAGGTGTATACGATAATAATAATAATTAATTTCGACAGAGGCAATAACAAAACACTTGTTCTACCAGATAATATCAATAGTTCCAATATGTATAAATAGAAAAAATCGTAGAGAAACGGAAATATAACGAACCGTTTTAATTTTTGAAGAGAATTGGTTAGAGGGATTTGCAGTAAATTCAGCAGGGATCACAAATTATAATTTATTTGCACGGAAATCAGTTCTTTTATCCAGTAAAAACTGAATAATACATCATCGAGAAAATAGCATATGTGTCACAAGTAAAATTTCAGAGAGTCGTTAAATAAATAAAATGGAAGGATATTTACTAACCATCAATTTATCATTTCTCGGCATTGATTTCGAATGCGCCTCCATGGAGATGATCAGAAAAATTCTCGCCCTTAATGTAAAACAAGAAAGAACTATATGAAAATTGTCATTAGCTTAATATTGATTTCTCCAGGTTGTTGTTGAGAATGAAATGCGTGCAAAGAAAATGAAATTCATAGCAAAGCAGAGGATTTACTAAAATTAACTAAGCAACTCTATTGCAAACCCATACCAAAAGAATAATATTAAGAGAATTTTTAAAACAACGAAATCACCATCAATTTTCAGAAAAAATATATTTCCAACATTTCTTATCTCTTACTAAATTATACTGGATTAAATATAACACTTAAAACATTTTAATGTGATTAATGATTCCTAATATTTGACTACCAATTTCCTCATCTTGGTTAGTCCAAGAAACGTAAACGCTTTTTTGATCATCATCATCATCACCTTCAACCTTAACTAAGACAGACTCGATAGATATTTCACCCTCGGAGAAAGTGATCGAAGCAATCGGTAATTTATCCTTAATAACATCCAAAAGCTTATGCGCAGTTCCGAGCGACGGCCCGCTATCCGTAATATGTACAGTCGAAGTAAACCTAACAATATGCCTGTTAATACCTGCTTCTTTGCAAGCCTCATCCACGTCCATAAGACACATGTTGTTGTCCTTCATCACCAGCACCCCGTGCAACGTCCTCTGGCGCTTCTGTCCGCCGGTCTGGCTGCTGAATCTCTTCGCTTCGGCTTTCAGCAGAGGCAACGAGACGTCCACTGGAATTTTAACGGGCGTTTGAATGTAAGCGGTCTCGCCGTTGGCGGGATTGTAGCACTGAATGTTGAATTCCTTTTGGATTTTCTCTTTGAGAAATTCGATTTTCGCCGCTTCGCCGTGCACGAGCATGACGCTCTTGGGCTCGCAGTGCTGGATCAGTTGCATGATGCCTTTGGCGTCCGCGTGCGCCGAGAAACTCATGTACTCCACGGACATTTTCACTTCGACTACGTGGCGGTTTTCGAATTCGATTTTCTTGGCGCCGTTGAGGATTTTGTGACCGACTGTGCCTTGTACACAGAAACCTGAAAGGAAGCATTATTAAACTTACTAGCACTTTGTTTGTACAATAAATAAGTTACCTGGCATTATTATCATGTTATTTTCGTTCGGCGCCCATTTTATGAATATCTGCAAGCTGAGACCGGCATGGAGCATTCCGGGTGTAGCGAACACCACCATCGGCCCGGGATTATCAATGAGTTGCTTGTCGAAAGGTTTTATGTGTTTGAAATCGAACATGTTCCTCCGTACAAAGGTTTTCCTGATTTTTTGATTAGTCCATGTAATGAACATTTTGTAATAGTTGTTCGCTTTCTCAGTTAAACCCAGTGCGAAGAATATCGGGGCCTTAAGATTCATTCTTTCCCAGTAGGTTTCGAGTAATATGCAAAGCTCCTGTGCTCGACCTAATGCGAACACTGGGATCAGGACCTTTCCTCCTCTATCGATGCATTCGTGCACCTTCTTCAGAAAATCTTTTTCTCTACACCTTTTCGAATCCCGGATAGTAGTAGCGTATGTTGCTTCGGAAATTAATAAATCCGGTCTACATTTGTCTATCCAAGCTGCCCCTAAATGTCTATCGGGGGTCATGTTGTAATCTCCCGTGTATACTACAGATTGATTTCCTACACGTATCCAAAACATGGCAGCTCCCAGCACGTGTCCTGCATAGTAAGCTTTTATTTCGATCTCATTATCCACCATAACTGATTGATGTAAAGTAACAGCCACTACTTTTTTCATACAATCTTTAATCATTTGGGACGTGAAGAAATTCGGATCACCTAAAAATTGTAACAATTACTTAAGTAGTTCCTTGATAATTAAACGAAACTGACCTTTCTTCTCGACTGAAATTTTCCTCATGTCTTCGAGTAGAAGAGGAGCAATGGCTTTAGTGGGATGGGTCATGTATATCGGGCCGGAATATCCAATCATCTCAGACATGTAAGGTAGGGCTCCGCAATGGTCCAGGTGAAAATGGGAAATGATAACGCAGTCTATGTAAGCGGAAATGGGTCCATCGCATATGTAGGTGAAATCGGGAAATCTCCTTTCATCGTTATATCCCATATGCATCCCGCAATCTAACATTATGTTTTTCCCTCCCATAGAAAGCAATAAACAGCTCCTGCCCACATCTTGGCCGGCTCCGAGAGGAGTTACTTTAATATCCGGCATTCTCCAAGTTATAATAAATATTCAATGTTGAAAAAAATAGCATATACCTTCTTTATTAAAAGGTTGTGCTTAATTTATTATATTATGAAGAAAATTTAAGCTAACACTTTCCAAATACATGAAGTGTTAATCTTTTATACTTTTTTACATATCTAATTCTAAAAAACAACAAAACATAACCTACTAAACAATTTAACCAATGTCTTCTTTGTTTCGTTTCAGGCCTCTGCTACTGTGGCTATTCAGCAAATTTATCCAACATTGTTTGTTTGTCCAACAATAATATTACAGTAATAGGCCCGTTTTTTGACACTTAAAAAAAAGAAGTCGAGTTTGACACAATTTAAAGTTTAACGTAACCTCACATTTCCTTTCTTATATACCATACTCATACAATACATTTTTAGTGACCTTTTAACTAAAAAAATGGGCCAGACGTCTGAAATAACATCTTTCCTTAACGTTCATCGAGACCAGTTGATTTCGTCTGGTGTACCCGAACACTACTGGCAAACGTTGTATAACAAGTTGGTACATCAATTATTCGATGCTTCTAATTGCTTTGAATTACTGAAAGTAGAACGAGATGAAACTGAAGAACATGAACATCAACCGGCCTTCATCCTGAGCGCTACTAAAGACATTAAGAAATCGGATACTCAGCATATTTATCTGATAGATCACGCTTGGACGTTCAAAATTCAAGATTCGAAGAAACAGTTAATGGAGAATGACGGTCTCAGAGAGAGGATATGTAGAATGCTCGATGTGGATTGTAATTTGGAAAGAAATGAATTAGTCGATGAATTGTTTAAGAAGATTTGGAAAATCAACAATTTTTACTCTATAAGTAACGCAGATGAAGTAGAAAATAGATTACCTATATGGTATGTAATGGACGAAGTGGGCACGGCAGTTATACATAGTGACTCGCCTAATTGTAGAGTTATACCGTTTGTTTACATCAACGATCAAATTACTTACTCTCTTCTCTTTCCTTTAGAAGATATTAATGAAGGAGATGTAATTTTTAGAGATTTTGCTGGGGGAGTTAATGATCCCATTAGAAGAGATGTTGTTTTACTGCCGTGGGTTTATAAATCATTAGAGTCGATGAGTGTAGATCCTCCTATTCCAGGCGAAGAATATTTCCTTACAGGCCACGTAAAAGAATCACTTCCAGATTTATCTAAACTTGAATTAAATTACAAACATAAACCGGACATTTTGAAAGTCTTTTCTCAGTATGATTTAGTAAACGCCCATTTAACTTATAATAAATTCGTTATTGTTGATGACCCGGCAGATGCTGACATTTTGTGGTATACTCAACATTTCAAGGATTTCCAAAAGTTGAGTGAAACTCCGGGAAAATTCATCAATCAATTTCCCTTCGAGTATGTTCTTACTGTTAAAGATCTTTTGTGTGTTACATGCAGGAGAAGTCAAAATAGCTTACGGTGGTTACCGATTTCTTATAACTTAGTAACAGAGAGTGGACATTTTGCCAGCTGTTTCCAAAGAAGGGAGAAAAACGGTTCAGATAATTACTGGATAGTGAAGCCTTACAATCTCGCTAGAAGCTTGGATATCCACATAACGAACAATCTGGATTACATTTTAAGGGTGTCTTTGACAGGACCAAAAATAGCTCAGAAATATATTACTAACCCAGTTGTCTTTCACCGTCCGGAATGTGGCGGGAAAGTAAAATTCGATATTAGATATGTTCTATTATTAGAAAGCACTAAACCTCTTAAAGCATACGTTTATAAAAACTTCTTCTTAAGATTTGCAAACAAACCCTTTGAGTTGAACGATTTTCAAGACTACGAGAAACATTTTACTGTTATGAATTACACAGACAGCGCGAATTTGAAACACATGAAATGTTCGGATTTCTTGCTGAATTGGATGGTGCAGTATCCGGATTTCGATTGGAAGACTATCGAAAAATCTATCTTCGAGATGCTAAAAAATATCCTAGAGAGTGCAACAATGGCGGAACCTCCGTGTGGACTGGCTCACAATCCACAATCAAGAGCAGTATATGCTGCGGATATCATGTTAAAATGGACTGAAGACGGTGAAATTGAGCCGAATATTTTGGAAATCAATTTCACACCCGATTGTCAAAGGGCTTGCGATTACTACCCGGAATTTTATAATGATATTTTCAAATTGCTCTTCTTGAATGAAAATGTAGATACAATGGTACTTTTGTAATATAACTATTATAAGATTAATTACATGCTTTTGATGCTTTCTGTTTTGTCTACTATTACAAATACCTGTCCCAATTCATCATAGGTATATGTTCTCTTGAGGAATGTATCCAGTAATTTAATACCGGCAATTGTCCTTAAACCTGGCAGTAAAGGAATGCACCGGAATTCAAGGATCAAATGTGACATAGGCAAAAGAGGTTCTAATTTTCTTCCGGATATATCACACCAGGCTATGCCTTCCACATTTTCTAAATAAATCATCAATTCGACAGTCCTTTCACTGCAAAAAACAACATACAGAAATATTGCTGATATTTAGTTTGGAAATCCTCACCAATTGTTGATCAATTTGCATTTAAAAGTAAATAATTCCTCCAAAGAAACGAAGTTTGGCAACTCCACTGCCGTCAATCGGATATCCCCATATTCAGGACTCTAAAACAAATACATTAAATATGTATAATCAATTGTGAGCCGTTATTGTGTACCATTCTTTGAAGTTGACTAGTCTGAAGCCTTCCTCTTTCCCCTAAATTCGACCTCCACACAATATCCAATTTTCCAATGTTCGTAGCGCCGCTTAATGATTTCAAATCTGACGCTAGTTTTTCATTGGGTACTAAACAATATAGAAACTGGCAAATAGTTTGGGGTTGCAGGACCGCTGTTGCTCCGAATATACTCTTTCCATCCCTATTGGAATTCAAAGAAACCACTGAAATATGATATTCAAATTTCCTCCTCAATCAAGATATTCTAGATATATTTTACCATCGAAAAGATGAGAGGCATCAAGAGCGACTTTCTCTAAATAAATAGGTCCTGCAGTTATATTTTGAACTTGTGCTTCTAAGTATACATCGTCATTTTCAGCATTGTAAAATTTCGTTTTAACATCTAAAGGCTTCATCACCATTATTTTAAAGAACTTTCTAAATGACATGGTGTTTCCGTTTGGAGATTGATATGTAACTTCACAAATTAAACTGAAATATTAAGTGGGGTAACAACTCGTAAATCACAATGGCATCATCTCGTATTAGTTTACTTAAGAGAAGTTATAAATTTATAAAACTTACATGTGAGTCCCAATTTCCTTAACTTCATGATGTATAACGACATCAACAGTTTTTTCAGGTGGCAATGTAGCGGTTGGAGGATTCGAAGACAACGATATCCGTTGGGAAATTGTTTGCAAATCCACCTAAACCATTATCCGTTCAAAAGCTATTTAAAAATAATACTTACTAAAAACTTACCTTGACTGAAATATTAGTAACGGCGGTTTCTGTTTCGCTGTATACGCAAATATAACTCGAAAACGTTTCTCCTAGATAAATGTTCACGGGATTCTGTGGAAGTAACAGGAATTGGCCAACGCATAGTGTTTCCGTACCTTCGACTGATGTAGGATCTTGCTGTAGTGCATTGTTTAGCAAATTACCTGGCAAATCTTTGCTATCACAAGTTACAGGAAACGGGCTAGCTAATGTGGGTCGAGTTAATCTCATAACTGCAATATAAATCGATGAAATAATGAATATTCCAGGTATGTACTTTACCTTTTAATGTTAATAAGTGTTCTTCTGATTCCATGCTTTCTTTTATAATTTACTAATTATAAGGAAAATAATTTAAATATATAATTTACTTATTTTATGGTAAATAACAATATAAAACATAACCTATTAATGAAAAATTTTAATGAACTGTCAAAAACATTGCCCTCCTATTGCTCTTGTATGCAGCCAACTTTATTTTTAATAAATCGAGGCCAGAGTATAATGTAATTAATTGTGTATATATAAACAAAATAAAGAGTAAAAGGATATACATTTATTAATAAAAGTAAAGGAGTCGTTTCTTATAATACTGGTATTAAAAGTGGTTGGATAATTTAACAGTAAGTGTTCATATTACCTACCAATACATTAGTAATAAGAAAAGTGTAAATGGTAGGTGAATCCCAAGAATATTATTTAGAATAGATGTAAACTGGATGTATTGAAGATACCTATACAAATAAACACACAGTTTAAAATATATTTTTATTTATTTAGACAAATAGTTGCACAACACAAACTGAAAACAGTTGATAGACACATCTTTAAAAAATAAGAATAGTTATAAAATAAGCAAACATGTTTAGACTTATCGTTAAAATTCACAGGAGACTTTATATTATTGTTTTTCATAAAAATACATTTTTGATTTGAAGAAAAAAATAGAAAATATCTTTGCAGTCATATATTTATACAATACTTTATTATTACTGTGACCATAAAAAGCTAGTAACAATACAATATTTCATAACCAAATTTATACAATATAAAAATATATCGTGTTTTAAATTTAATATGTAATAGGTATATGTGTGAATAAGGCGAAATCTAACTAAAATATAGGAGAGAATACTTTTTATAACCCTGTGTGTTTTATATCATAAGTTTTCAGAAGATATACGAGACATATTCGACAAATGCATAGAACAAATTTATATTAATACAGAATAATAAGAGTTGGGCAAAGTATTTTTTAAGTAATCAATTGAACGCATTATTGATTTTCAATCAAAACTACTTGAAAATAGAATTGTTAGGAGCACTTTTATTCAAATAAAAGCACTTACAACGCTCTTATTTTAATTCCAAAGATAGCTTATTAAAAGTAATGATCATTTCAACTATCATAACTTCTAATATACTATGTTTGACCACTTTATAGAATGTATTTAACCCAGCTCTGACGTAATCTGTGTGAATATACACTTGTAAACGAATTTGCCGATTGAATACACATATTCTTTATACACCAACCTTAAATCTATGTTGTAAGTATATTTACTTTGCATAAATAGTGACAGATACATATCATAGAATTTATGAAACAGAGACTTGTAAGATAATGTAAAGTAAAGTTGTTTTGATCCTATGGGTAAATTGAATCATCCAGGTAATTTATATCTATAGGAACAAATCAACCCTACTTATTGGTAGTTAATAACAAATTATACATGCTTAAAAATTTGTAAATGTGACAACATAGTGTAGAAAATAGAAAAATCGATGAGAATTTTAATTGTAACGCTTTTTAAGCTATTGACGTTATATGAAACAACTTTAGGCCCTGACGAGTTAGTATATTTTTTGCATGGTTTATCGCATTTTAATTGGAGTTGTACAGCAAATTTATACTGAAAGTTAATACGAAATCATAAAAATCGAGAGAGTAATCAGAACAATGATTTTTTTGTAATTTCATTCCAACTAAAACCTAATAGAAACAACATGATATGTTAAAATGTTCAGGTATCATAATAATAGAATTCTTTAATAAGCAGAGAAAAATGTATAATATTCCTCTTGGCTCGTTCTTAAACAAATATAGTAGACATTTCATTTTTATAGTGCTTTCACATAAATTCATTTGAGTGTACATTACATTTCAAGTTTTCTCTCGCCTGATTTCTCTGAGAATTTAACATATTAAACAACATATTATTGATATTACAAATGCTTACCTCAAACTAGTGATTTAGAGTGATTTGAGATAATACTTTCACCATGCAAAATTATTATAATACATGAAATCTAAAGAGATATCACGCGAGAACGCCTCACTGTACATCTCAAATAAACGCAGTCACGAAAAGTGAACTTGCGTGTGTTCCTTATTTGATATAATATACATATATAAAACGTTATATACTGCTTATATACCTATTTAAGTTTTGTAATTTGTAACAACATATTTATGATTTGTAATACGAATTATTTTATAACTAGCAAAGCAAAATACTTCGGTATGAATGTGAAATTATTGTTTTCGAATTTCGATTCTCGACGACTTTTTAGGCTCTTATGATAACGCTCCCTTATTTATTTCCTTACATAAATCTTTTTTTAATCAAATTGATGGTCCCTGTAGCCAGCATATAGTTAAATAAACTTTTTATAAGAGACATCCTAAATAATACACTTAAATCAACAAACTAATATTTACATCGATGAATTCAAGTACTTACACCTTAGGTTTGTTCCATTGAAAATACTGCTATTGGAACAGACCTGTTAGGTATAGTAAATACGATTATTTTAAAGTAGATACATATTTAGTAACTACTTGTATATTCTATGAAATGCATAAATACTTAAGTTTACTTAAAATTTAAAGGGACAAGTAAGATTCCGGTGTTGCTTTTACGCTATTAAAAATGAGCGGAAAAACATTTAGATGGGTAAAAATAAATGCAGAATGCAGATAGGTAACTCAACTTTCAAACTGCATTGGTTTATACGCTATTTAATTTAATGAGATTATTTTTGATAATTCTTGCTCCTGCTAAGCGGGTTCAATTTTATCAACTACCTAGCAAATTGATTTCGATTTTTCAAGTTTAAAATAAAGTGCTTTTTGTGTTGATGATTTGAATGAGAAATGTCTAATCTTTAGAGCCTTTAGAGACATTTATACCGAAATAATTTACAAGGGGACCTACACGCTAATTTACAGTTACATTATCAACATTTTATTTTGCACGACACAACTTTTAACACGGAACATTAATATATTTTTTTCGGTTTTTCAACCAATAAAATGTCATTCGAAAAACATTTTCAATATAGATAGTAAAATCTTTAGTGTATAATCTATAATTTTTTTTCAATATACAGGGGGTTTTAACGAAGTCGCAGCCCCAATTTAATCTGAAATCAGTTTTTCCTTACAACTCAAGAAATATTATTAATTTTTTTCTTCAATTTACAGAGAAATTTTTCGTCTAAATCCTATAGTTTTAAGTTATTTAGGAAAAAGTGATAACTGGTTGCATTAAGGAGTGTCCTTTGTTAACGCACCCTTTATATAATATATAATAAGACAGCAACATTTATCATAAGTATAAGAAGAAAGTCAGAAAATATTCTTGATGTTCTGACTTCCGTGTAAGCGTCTTGGTAAACATATTTTAATTCAGCGGCGTAATTAGACGAGGGGCAAAAATACAAATATTTTATTAAACGCGGCTGCCCACTTTTCTTTGATTGCTAGTTACGCCCCTGTTTTAAATGTATAACTGAATAAGTATATCCATATGCACAGGATGAACCACATGTGGATGCAAATTTAAAATTCAATTAATAAAACATAAATAACTAATACAACTAAATTAAATTAAGTTTGTTAATTACACCCACTTTGAAACTTCCTGCACGTAATAAGTTTTTAGGGAAGATATTTTATTTTCTAGGGATATATTCAGCCATTTCTTCTGGAAGAAAACTTAAAAATGATTGTCATTTTTAACGAGTTTCGAAATAATTTAACCGCGATAATTTTACCAAATTTGACCGAATTAAATGAATTGTTCCAGTAAGAAGTAACAAGAAAGAGTTTTCAATACTGTTGGTTGATTTAATTTAAAATGATCTGAAAATCGATTATAAAATAATTACAGTACAAATATTCTCAGGTTTATTATATTATAATATTAACCTATTAAATATAACGAATAACCTATTAAAATTATATTTTTAAAAATAAATAAAAACCGCTCGAATGCAATTTGGCAACTGATAGAGTAACCAACAGTATTTAAGAAATGCTGTTTTAATACTCTTATTTAAATGGCCTTACAAGACTTAGTACTACTTACATTAAATAGTAAACGAACATAAACTATGCAGAAAAAATGAAAAAACATGAAAATAGTTTGCCCAATGTGTGTACTCATCTGATTACAACAAATATTATTTAGGCTTATATTTCAATGTTTTAACATGCATTGCAGGCACTCTGCATTATCGAAATAAAATACGAATTTAATACGTGTTATCTGTATCATTTTTTTGTGTTTTTTTTTTTGAGCAGATAGTTTACAAAATGCACTAATTTACCTTATAGTGTGCCAGCAGGCTATGGCTTTCCTGGGGCTCTGCGTCATATCTATCCAATGGTCTTTCTCGGGTCCTGTTTCTTTAGGACCTATGGTACAAATTCCGATTAAAATATTGTTTACTATGATGTCTGTACCTTGATCGAATATCGATATCTGCAACAGAGCAAAGCAACAAATAGAATTTTTGCAAAACAGCAATATAAATAGACATGCTATCGGATTACTATAGATCTACTAACTCTAATCCCGGAATAGACAAAGAGGTAGTGTTGTCGATGAATGAGAGAGTTGCAGCTAGTTTGGGCATACGGCAATAAGAGATTTGCCAATGGATTAGCCAATAGTAAGAAAGCAAAAGACCACGTGAGTTACGTGTGAGAGTTCATAGATGAGGAATATCCTGTATATATTTTATTTTTTATTTGGTCGCGCCTACTTCTTGCCCTAACTAGCTCCATCTCTCACGGACCTCTCTCTCTCTCTCTCTTTCTCTCCATGATTAATAGGTCTATGCGGATTACCTATCTTTAATCTCTATAGTCTATTGGGGACATAATTAGAATTATCTCTTACCTCAACTGCAGCATTAGCAATGTTATTCGCCGATAAAGTAAACGTTAGCGCCTCATTCCATATCGGATTCGAAGTTCCTTTTTTAACGACAGTTTTCTTCTTTTTTGTGCGTTTGCCGTTTATGATGAGGTACACCTTCACGAAAGTTTGCAATTCTGAAACATTGGTTGGGTTTTTTAATGCTAGGACGATTGAGTTTGGAGGATTTATCTATAAGTGATCTTTTACATTTGGTGACCTCTGGTAGAAATACCTTATAACAGCGGGAAAACTACAGAGGATCCTCTGATCTAGGTGGTTACGGCGCTAAATTTTACATTTTAAATCATAACAGAAATTACCTCCGTTAGGTTTACATTGAGGCACGACAAGATTTCTAGCTTTCAAAAGCACCACGGTAAGTCTTTCGGCCGATGGCAGATAACTTAACGAGACCAGAACTTCCTGCATGTCCTCCCTGGGTTTCTTGTTTTTGGTTATTTCTCCCCATATTTCTACGCTATTAGCAACATCGAATTCGCTCATCACCATCGATACTTCTCCTATGACGTCGTTCCTTGAAAACCTACAACGATCTGTAAGTACCTAAAGTACATACGAATGTTTTTGTACCAACCTATCGTAATCGAATACTTGTAAAATCAGCGTCTTCGATTGCAGTTCCTCGTGCGAAACGGGAAATTTGAAATGCTGATCGAACAATGGATTCGGATCGTTCCGGCAGATGTTCGTCTGACGCTTGCGCGAATCCACTTCGGGCGACAAGGTCAATCGAACGTAGGGATCGCTGAAGCCCCCTTGGTCGCTGCTGGCTAAATCGTGAGCTGCAAATTCAACCAACGATGCATATAAGCGTCGAAAACCGCCGTTCGAAAATCGTACCTTCGATGAGGTGAACCACCAAGTCGCTCTTGTCGAAATCATAAGAAAGTCTCAAGTGCAATCTTCCCAAGCTGGGAGACTCCTTCGGCACGGAAATGAACAGAGGCCCGTCCTTTTTCAGGTACAAGTCCGGCTGGATGGCGCCCAGCGGACTGGCAGGAGGCGCCGCCGCCGATGAATCAGGAACCGTGACAGTTCGATGTATGAAAAGCGGTGATAAACACCTACCTAGGCCGGTTCTCGGTGACGGTGGCACCGGTGAATTACAGGAACTCGTAGAACCTCCTGAACAAACACATGCGACATTTTCAACGTACCTATCGTTTTCAACGCAGAAACCACTACCTGTAAGAGACGTTAAGCTGGATTGCGACGGTGACGGCGTTCTGATATCCGCCAAACCGTGCGCCGTCCCAGGCGATGAACAGCGGATATCCAACGAAGCTGCTCTCAAAGGCGATGGGGAACGGCTCGAATTTCGCAAAGGGTAGCTGGACGTGTGGGTAGCTTCGTGGTGATAGTGAAACGTTGTCTTGCCGTCCGGCGCGAATGTGCGGATTTGCGGAGAAGATCCGCGATGGCCCTATATCAATTCAGTTTGTTTACAAAACGCAGGGTTCTATATCTGGCCGGTTTGTAAGCGAACTTTAGAGGGGATTATGGAAGATGAGCTGGACGAACCTGTTTAGAGGCGGTGCTGTCCAAGCTGCTTTGGCTGGACACGCTCGGTGTCCGGCAGAGCAAAGGCTGGCCAGCGGGATACGATTTTGATTGGTGTTGTAACGTAGGAGGCGGCACGTGAGCCGATGCGCCAGCTTCAGAAGTACTCTTTAGTACGTCACTTGCCACGTCCTGCGTTGAGGATGCCTGCGAAGGTGGACCTTGGTTTAGGAGTTCCTTTTCCACATTGAATTCCTATGAGGAAGATGATTATTAACATACATCAAATAGACTGAAAATTAAAGAGTAAAAATTGTTTTGGTAGTAGGGTATGCTTTCAATCCTGACGAAAATTGAGGAGTTAATGGGAAAAATAATGAGACGGAGCAGCGGGATGATGAATAGGGCATCTGACATGATGAATAAGAAGGATTACGTAAATATTATTAGAGGAATAATAAATTAGGAAAATTTAATAAGATATTTTAGTAGATCTGTGCGTTGATAAATCAATCATTTAAGTTTCAACATAAAATAAAGCTGGAAAAGTTATAGACTGACTCATATATGATATTTTGCGTCTTTGATTGATCGAAAAAAACTTGAAATTATTTACCGTTATTGATTTGTAGTCAAATGTCTGACGTTTGTGCTGATATTCAATGAATTATTTAGTAACCCGAACGTAATTTCCTTATAACATGATTTGCAGTGAAAATATTAGTGCGAAAAATATTTTCAAAAGTATATTGTTGTACTCGACGTTTATACAAGAGTGTGGAAAAGTTTTCATTTCCGCACGTTTCTAAAAAATCATTAATAAAACGCCTATTGCGAAATATAATTATATTTGTGTATTTAATTGCATTTTAGTCCTTATTAACAAGAACAGCAAGACCCTGTTAACCTCAAAAACGCTATATCGATCGATTTTCCCCTCAACTGCGATTCGATTGCGCGCTCTAACCGTCTTGCGTGCAACACAAGACAAACATAAACAAAACAAACATTTTTTATACTCCACACAAGTATCTAGTACCTATTTTCTTACTCTTTGTTATACAAACGTTGCCTATTTGTATTTCAATACAAATATCCCGTAGGTTAATTGTTTGCACGTTTGTCGTGTTCAATTCATCAACACGCACCCTCTTGTGCACAAATAAAGAATAACATCTATTTATCTATTATATGTTGCAAACCTCCAAGCTACTGCTGCTGTTACTATCGTTCTTCCCGTTCTTATCGCCCTTTCCAATTGCGGGATGATGATGGTAACTGTTTCCCAATGCCCTCTCCTTCGCTGCCCTCGCCCAGGATTCCAGTCTCTTGTGCGTCATCCAGCAACTGGCCGGGCTTATTCCGGACATGCTGGGGCGGCCGTCGAGTATCGGACAATGGGGGTTTCTACGAAGGACTGTTTCGGGATGCTTTTTCAGGACTTTTTCCGTCTGTCGGACATTTTTGTGTGTTCGCGAGAGTGCCGTCGGGACGCCGTTTCACGCACTGACGCCCGCTCTCCCGACGCCGCGCCGCCGGAGTGCACGGAGTTCAACAGGTTGAGGGGAAACGCGGCAGCGGCGGAGCCGAAGCGAGGCCTTCAAGGATGGCAAAACCATAGAAACACGGCGAAATCACCGGAGTGAAATGAATAACATTACTGTCTAAATTTTTTAAGCAAATTTGCACCATATCGCTATGCATTGTGAGCCTGCTTTAACTCTGGTTGGCCGTATTTTAGATTGTTTGTTCCAGTTAATCTTTTCAACAGCTTTGAATTATAATGGTAGTGATTTTAGTAAAAATTCATTTATACTTACACGCCTCAATAAAGGATAAATCGATTTGTTGTACTTGTCGAGCATAAGAGGCAGCTGCATATTATCGAGAGAGTGCCATTCCTTCGATCGTTTCTTCAAATTGTAGTACTTGTATACTACAATAGTCATGGCGATTAGCAATGCAGTACCAGTACCCAAAGCTGCGCCGAGTACTGCTGTTCCCACCATTTTTCTAAAAGAAGTAACGATAGATGAAGAAATGATAATGAAGAAAGACATGATAATAATAATGATAGATCATGAGGTAACATGTGGTCCCAAACCATATATTTTTAAACCATTAGTGGGTTTAGTTGGGATTGCAGAAGTATTTTTATATTTATTCCAGATTTATAATTGTGAATTTGAGTGGTTTTAATTATTTATGTGCATTTCAATTCATTGTTATATAAGTTTTGTATACGAGTACATATTGCTTCAGTACATATTGTGTTTTTTGCAAAAAAGTTTTTTTAACAATCAAATTTTAACTCTTTGAACCAAAAACTTTTGAAGAAAGTTCTCATATTAAGATACACATTTTTTAACCTGTTGAATGATAGTAATCTAATTAATTTTAAGGATTTCTATTAATTTCTTTAAGAACAATTAAAAATCATTATTAAATCTTAAAAAAATTGACTATTGTACCATTTGTAATACAGTCAAAACAAATAAGTCCATTTAAAAAAATCTTAATATGAATCTAAAAAGTAAATCAATTAAATTTAATGATGTTCTTTTATCAAAAAAATCATTTATATACAAAGAAAAATGATAAAAAAATCATAAAAAGCCATCTAAACATCACGAAAAACGTATATAAATTAATGCAAAGCAAATGCGCTTTATTTTTCTTATCATTTTCCATTATCCTATCGAGGTGAATATTTTCAGGAAATGAAACAACTCTTTAAAAAAACAATTAAAAAATACCAATTAACGCACAAACATGTACAAATCATCCAAAAAAGACAATGCAAGTAAAATGGGAGCCTTACTAAAACTTTGGAGATGCAACAGCTGTTTGAATATCGGTGAATTTTCGCGAAAGTAAAGCCGTCTCGCCGCCTCGAATAAGCCGGGGTAACTTGAAAGGATTCGAGATAAAAACGATCGTCACTCGTTCACGCGTCGCGTCGTCAAACATCGTCGGGATTCGTAAAAAAATTTATCTCTCCCTTTTTTCGATAAGACAATAACAAAACAACTCCGTGCGTACAATAGGGAATATGGAACGAAATATAGGTGGATTCGGGATGAATTTTTCTTCTCTCTTGTCAAGGTTATTCCGGTTTATATATAATAAAACGTGATCCTGCGACTCGTGGAAACCTTTCAACGGGGGCGGAATTCAATCGACTGTTGAATGAAGGCGGAATCTATGCATGTAAAAATTTTACAAGTTTAATGTTTATTCTACTCTTTGCTTTCCCATTGTTAATCCGATTAAAAAATTGAAATTAAATCTGTATAAGCAGAAACCTACTGGAAAAGCAGTGAGCCTTCTCTTGTAGAAAAAATATAAATCATGTAAATGTAGTATGTTTTTTGTTGGCATTGGTTCAAATGATGCCAAATAAGCAATTAGCTTTTTTCATTAGTTGTGAAAATTCGAAATATCGAAGCGTCAAGAGCAAGAAAAATAGAGTAAGTTGGAGAATAATGTTTTCCCTATAAAATGAAATTAGAGTTTTAGATAAACATATCATTTTTATGATTGTTGGAAAAATCAATATGTTGCCGGAAGTGAAAGAGAGGAAAGTTAAAGAATGAAATTTCCCAAATAAAATTAACTTCTGTGAATACTCATCTAGTTCAAGAAATATTAGAATGACAAATGACCCACATCCTATAACACATTCGCAAGAAAATCAAAATTCCTACTAAATGAAAATTTTGCACATAACAGCCATGCAATCATACAGTTATACTAACTTTAGGTGGCTGTAGTTGTAAAGGGGAAAATGTGTAGACATACAGGGTGTCCCGCATAAGAACTGACACAGAGCAGGAGCATGTAGGGGAGCCCAAAATATGTTGTTTAATACGTTGCTCTGTGTCGGTTCTTATTCTAGGACATCCATTATTTATTGAAAAAATTCTCTTTTATTTTTATATTACACCTTGTTTTGCATTTTTAGATAAAATTGTTAATTTCAGTGATACATAAGAAAATAATATAAATGACAGCTTAACTTACAAATATCTTTGAATATCTCTGTTACTAGTTACATTCCGTTTGAGCAGGAAGAAGCCAGGCATTTCTATTTAAACGATAATTGTGTAGATGTTATGCCACCATCTTAATATAAAGGGAATTCGTAAATACATTAAAAATTCACTAATGCCAAAATAAGTGAAAGTTTTCTTTGATACAATAATGAATAAAGAATGGTTCATATTTCTTGACTAAGATCTTAAAAGATGCCTTTAACTTTTGTGATACATTGATTAGCAACTTGCTATTAAAGGTTCTTTCTTATAGTTTATCTACTATACAATTCATCCTCTCAGTGCTATTTTCAATGAAATTCATATCAGAGTTCTTCTTGTTTCATATTAACAATATTCGGCATTTGAAAATAGTGAGATCAGTACCTTTCATTGTAGAATAAACAAGCTGTACATTGCGTACATTAACCTGGCAATCGTAAATATCCAAGAAAATATGTAATAGGGAATATTTTCTTTACTCTGAATCCGAAAATCGGTGTACTGTGGCTGTTCATGATGTATAATTTAAGTTAGCTGGGAGCAATGTAAACTTTTTCTTGAGCAATACTTCAGCAGCTTACTAGTACAAAAACTTCATAGAATTGTGCTGAAAATATAAATAATTATGATAGAAAATGCGTAATTTTAAGACTACACTAAGAAATATTAAATAATTGTATCAAATAATAACAATTAACAATAAACTAACCTTACTTTTTCTTCTACTTTATTTATTATTCAGTTTTTGTCTTGAGTTTTTCAGCCAATTGAGTCTCTATCTTCGAAATTATTCAGTTCTCTTCGTTTCTTTCAATTTTTTTGACGTTTGACAATGACAATAGTGGCATTTGACAGTACCTGTCATATATGTGTCAGTTAAATTAATGCATGTAGTTATTATTTTATTCTACCGCGATCGTCCTTCACAAAAACTAAAGAAACGATAAATTACTTACCGTTATCCTTACGAGACCTGCTTATTGTACTTTTATGTATTTGTTATTGACTGAAAAAAAATAGTGTGCAAGTTTATTTATACGGCAAGGCGAAAACGGAAAATAAACATAGATGCTTGACATCTGTCCAAATGTGTAGTTTTAGTTTTTTATTATTATTTAAGATCAGTTTTCACCTTCCCAGCGGAGCGCTATTTTTGTCGTAAATTTGTGATCGTATTTACAATGGACCTGAGGTGAACACAATTGGCAAGAGATACTTTCGATACGATGGCATCAACAAGGAGATCTTGGAAATTCCGTAAGTGCACCTTGATGGTTTATTTGCTTTACCTATTTTAGACAAGCCATACATGTAGCAGATGTGAAACTTTATTACTGAAATTAATGTTTATCTGGCGTTTACAAAAAAAATTTTAGAAGTTTTTAAATATTTCAGACATAAAATCATAAGATCACTATTTTTTGGTACAATTAAAAACTGTTATTTAAGAATTATTAGACAACAGTTTCTGTTTAAATGGCCCAAGTTTATCCTTGATTGTTCACAAATTTAGAACCAAGTGTATTTAGGGAACAATAGAAATTGATGCAAAAGTCTTGCTACAAAAGGTACAATAGAGTTTCAGGTAATTTGTTTTCAGTAATAAAATTGTCATTATTTTTGAAAACTAACTGTACAATTAATCTATTCTTGGAATAGATGAAACTTTTAATAGTCTGTTATTTTTATAATTTTTTCAAACTTTATGTATCTATTTCAATAATGAGTTATTTGAAAGATTTACCATATATATTAATTTCTAAGAGTATGTAATATAAACTACATTTTTTATTTACCTCTTTGTTTTACCATAAACTATAAAGCCTAACTGTACAGCAAATTATAGTTATTTGTGTAGTTAATTAACAATATTGTTAGCTTTTAAAAGTAACTGTTGCTACCAATAACAACTCTAACATGTAACATGGAGTTTATTTTATATAATGTTTTTTATGCAGAAGTTCCCCTGAAAATTGTAATTTGTAATTTAAATCTCCTTTGTATTCAATGCAATGTCCTATATTCTTGTGCTTATCAGTGCTAGTAAACTGACAAAATAAACACCTAAACTGCTATTTAAATATTTCAACAGCACAAATTTAATCCTCGATTAAATTATAATGAAAACCTACATGCATACATTATGTAGTCTTTTCTTAAGAATATTTGACGAATGATTCATTCTGTTGAATTTTAGGAGATAAAAGGTAAATAATTGCGTGAATATTTAATTACAAATTTTTTAAACATTCTCCTATTTTTTTTCAAACTGATGTTCAGTGTATATCCAGATATGTAAATTGTTTAATATTTCTTCTTCACTTGAAGTACCTACATAATATTCATTTATTTCTCTTTGTATTCTTTTCCATCTTGAAATAATTTAAATTAAATTAAGCCACTAGTCTGGTTTACCTTGATATATCTTCCTAGCCTAATCGGAAGTTGTATAATTTTAACAGTGTTTCTTTTGAATGCAAATCTATTTATTCTTCTTAATTAAATTAATATATTCACTTTTTATGCGTTCATTAAATTTCTTTCCTACGTACAAGAAAATCGATGAAGCAAACATTCTGTTATACAATTTAATTAGAATTATAAAATTAATGAATCTAATAAAAGTTGCTTATTAATATTGATTTCGTGGAAACATTGCAGAATTTTTATTGGAAAATGAATTCAATCAATTGGTGTTTTAATCGATTAAAGCTGTGCTATTAGGAAATAACGTAATGCCTTAAATATTCGCAAACTTTATTGTGTAAATTTAATTATATGTTTATTAGCATATTGTTTGTAAAATACATTACCGATATCTGAAGGTAAACTTCCAATGTGCGATTAGTAAAATATTTTTATCCTAATCAAATGCGAAATTTATTCGCATTAGTTTATCCAATTTGCGAACACTTTGTTATTATAAAAAATAACATTGAAATACATACTAAAATTTAAATCTAAAATGCAACATAAACATTTATAAATTTAATGAAAATAAAAGTTTGTACAAGATTTTGATAATACTATATTATGTGGGTCTTACGTCACGCTAATGAATACCTGCATAATACGTAAGTATTTTCTTTGATAAAATAAATAGAATTTCTTTTGGCAATACGCAGATATTAATAATTTCTCTTTTTATAGCAAAATCAAGAGTTTCATACAGTTTACTATGCATAAAATAATTATTCTTTCCGCTAATCAAAATTTTATAGCGAAAGCCGATTCATTTCATTAGTCCTTAACCAAATTCTCGCACTTTCAATTCAAACTAAACGTTACATAATTGTTTTTGGCGATTGCAGAGGATTTTATGGCCCACAATGCCAACGTCAATTGCTTGGCATTAGGACACAAATCGGGTCGAGTATTGGTTACAGGGGGCGATGACAAGAAGGTCAATTTATGGGCCGTTGGCAAACAGAGTTGCTTTATGAGCCTCAGCGGTCATCTCACCGCGGTAGATTGCGTCCAGTTCAATCAATTAGAAGAGTTAGTTTGCGCCGGATCTCGAGCCGGAGCTCTCAAAGTAAGACTCATGCAACTATTACTAAAGTTTTTGAGAAGTTTCCAAATTCGCGAATCTCTCGAAAACAGTTGATACTATGCAAATTACCACACGTTCCATCAATACTTTTACCGTGTTTTTGCTTATTATTTTTTAGGTATGGGATTTAGAAGCGGCAAAATTAGTTCGCACTTTAAACGGTCACAAGTACGCCATAAAATGCATAGATTTCCATCCGTACGGGGATATATTAATATCCGGAAGCGCCGATAGCAACATTAAAATGTGGGATATAAGGAAACGAGGAAATTTGTTCACTTATAACGGACATAAAGGTAATATTTCACGATAATTACGCGCCGAAATTTCCCTATTCGTGCAGGAAATCTTGACCTTTAACCCGCGACGAAGTTCACTAAACTTTCGACGAGTTTGTTCTATTTTCGTTGCCAAATTATAGCGCTTATCGATCTTCTTTAATAATCACCTTCGTTTTTATAATAGGTACGGTGAATAGCATAAAATTCAGCCCCGACGGTCATTGGGTGGCGTCCGGCGGGGAGGATTCCACCGTGAAAATTTGGGACTTGCGAGTCGGAAGGGTGATAAAGGAATTTAGGGAGCACACGAATCCCGTCACTTCCGTGGAATTCCACCCGCGCGAATTCCTCCTGGCCAGCGGCAGCTCGGACGCCGTTAATTTCTTCGATTTGGAAAATTTCAATTTAGTATCGACCGAAAACGATGTAGGGGCGGTTAGGTAAGAAGTTTAATCATGATGGTGAACCGTATTAAATTCCACACTGGTCGACAAATTAATTAACTTCGCTATCTATGTTGATTAAGATTGTGAATTTCATTATTTCGTAATAGAATCATTACTATAACGAATAATGACTTTAAGTTAGAAAAGTTTATCTTAACATAAAATGTGTTCTTAATGAAATTGTATACATATGAAATGTTGATAAAACTATCATAAATTACCTTCTATATGGAAATGAATTCCTAATCATCTAATAACATTTTATTTATCTTCTTTTCAAATTTTATCACCATAATTTCAGTTTTTAAAAACCCTATTTATAAACTCAAAATTTTCAATTTTTTCAAACTCCCGTTTCTACTGGAAGTTTTTTAAAGACTCATAGTTAATACAGTAATAACATTTCTGTATAGTTTATGAAATACTTAGAAAGTTATTTTACTCCCCGACTATTACATTCACCCTTTAAGTTTCTATTCCCAAATTTCTAATGTAACTTACATTAAATTTTTGTAGGTGTTTATGTTTCAATACGGACTGCGATTGTCTCTTTACCGGTATTAGAGATTATTTAAAAATCGTTGGCTGGGAACCGAATAGACTATACGATTCAGTACCTGTATATTGGGGGAGAGTGACTGATATTTCCGTAGCATCCAATCAATTGGTAAGACCCCTACGTTACTACATATGTGTATTATTATTTATTTAAAATATATACTGTAGCTCTGTAAAAAAAGATCCTGTTATAAACTTATTTTCTTATAGATTGGAGCTTCTTTTCACCTCACAAACGTTCAAGTTTATGTAGTCGATCTGAAAAAATGCAGACCGTGTTCTTCCTCTTCAGTATTAGATTCGCAGGCGAGCCCTTTTACGCCGAATCAGAATATTAGGAAAAGCTTCTCGAAAGCCGAAAAACCGAATTTGAAGTCGAGAGCGTTGGACGTGAAGACTATCGAAGAAAGTACGTCCGGAACGGATCCGGAAGAAGAATGCTCAGCTGATATTACGAATCTTAAAGACTATCATGAAATATTCAAAGGACGATCCAGTACGTATTTTCTATATCTCTATTGTGTATCTATATAATTTCAATATACTTTTGTTTGTAGTTCAAAGAACTCCTCCGCCTGAGCCGGAACCTTTCCAAGAGCCCGAAAAAGATGATATTCTAGGTAAGCATCCTTGTGTTCATTTGCAAATTTTATACTAAAAATTTTACATTTTCAGAACCTCAAATTTTAAGTAACTTAATCAGCGACAACTTCGAGGCCCTCTCATTGGACAATAACCTAAACAATTACAAAAATTCATCTGTCCAAATCACCCTTAATCGCTATTCTAGGTCCAAATCGAATCTCGATCAGGCAAGTTAATTTCGACTTAGATCATTAGATCGTTTCTAATAGTTTCTATTCTAATAGTGCTATAATCTTTCAGGTATACGAGAAGCGTCAGAGAGATAACCGAGAAAATATACTACCCAACATAAACAAAACGAAAACGGCGCCGAAGTTTGCTTTGCAAAGGCAAAGCAGCTGCAAAGATGTTCCTGATAAACCTCCCAAGTCTTCTAATATTAAACACAGCGTCTCCGAAGCTAATATTAATAAAGGTACGAATGTACAGGAACAGACAAATTAAAAAAATCTAATTAGGATTATTATACTCCGTCAAAGGCAATATTTATTCTTGTTTCGTACATCAACAGCATAGTAGTACTTTAATCTTACTAAATTGCCATTTTTCTTAATTGTTTTTACTCTAGTAGTATTTTAACTATTTGGAACCATTCAAAATCATTTAGGATTGCCCAGAATCATTTTAAATCATTTTAGAATAGACTACTACCATTTGAAACAGTCCAAAACTTTTTTGAAGTGTTCAAAATCACTTAGGGTTGTCTTGAATCATTTTGAACCATTTTAAAATTGACTACTACCATTTAAAACAGTCCAGAACTATTTCGAAGTGTTAAAAATCACATAGGATTGCCCAGAATCATTTTGAACCATTTTAGAACTGACTACTACCATTTGAAACAGTCCAGAACTATTTCGAAGTGTTCAAAATCACTTAGGGTTGAACCATTTTGAACCATTTTAAAAATTAATTAGAACCAATTGAAACAGTTCAGGGCTCTCTAAGAACTATTCTACTCTACCATAAGTTTGCAATCAACTCAAATAATCCCCCCTTCTACCTGTAATATTGTGATGAAAAATGCGATTTTTGAACAGGGTAACGAAACAAGAATGTACGAATAAAGAAACCACCATCTCTCCATACATTTTTCAAATTATTTAATCATTTATTTATTTGTTTAGGTTCGGTATCGTCGCGAAATTCGTCGAGAAAGAATTCGTTTTCGAAGCCGACCAATCGCAATTCCACCAGCGTTCCCAACGTCTCGAAGATGCCGAGCAGTCGAAAACCCGCGATGCTTCCCCAAGTCGATATCTACGTGAATTCGTCGCGCGTGTCTCCGGAGGATCAGTCCATGGAGGACGCGTTCGTGCCGGTGTGCGTCGATAAGCCGGTGGGATTGGACCTGGACGATTTCTTACCGGTAATTCGAACGATCTCCATGGAAAGAGAAATTTGCTAATGCTTGCGTGTTGGTTTACAGAAGAATTACGGTATGCCGGGTTTCCAACAGCAATTGCCCGATATGTCCGAAGCGGAAGTTCTGGGCGTTATTATGAGAGGTCACGAGCCAATGATGGATATATTGAATACGAGGAAACGTAGCCTTCAATTAGTACTCAATCATTACAGGAGTAAGGATATGAAAGCGGCCGTCGAATCGGCTTTAGCTATGGAAGATATATCCGTTTTGGTTGACGTTTTAGGTGTCATTACCGCCAAACAGTGAGTAGTTAATGTTGATATTGTACAGGGTGGTCCAAAATTCGCGCTCCACTGGGAAAGGGAATATATGGAAACGACAATAGAGATGTCAAAACTGCAGCCGAGGACATGAAAAAGTTTTTCCTTTGGTATATAAAGAGGTTTAAAATCGACCAATCCCAGTTCAAATCCAAGAAAATGACGTGAATGCGCTTTACCAAAATTGACATTATTGAAAGATTCTATTGAAAGTCATTTTCACTTTCAAGGTTAACACAAGCTGTTAAGAACAGCTATGATTATTAGTCAAAGATTTGCTTGTAAAAATAAAAGGATGATCACAAGATAACTTATCCTTCGGGAAAATCGTTTCTGATATATTCGAGCAGCTTCTCGTGCGATTCGTCCACATTTTCCATAAATTGTAATCATATACATGTATTCGGTGGCTGTATACATATTCGGATCAGACTTCATTAATATATTTCAATAATGTCAAATTGTTGAAGCTCTGTCACATCATTTTCGTGAATTTGTACTATTGCTGGGATTGGTCGATTTTAAACCTGTTAATTCACCAAAGGAAACATTTTTTCCTTTTGGAAGTTTTGGACCACCCTGTATTTACTATATTAATTTAGTTACACCAGTGATTATTTCTGTTGATAACTTTTATAATCATCTTGTTTTGTTTCAGTTCGTTATGGAATTTGGATCTATGTGTTATGATATTACCAAAAATTTTGGAGTTGTTGCAGAGTAAATATGAAATGTAAGTAATAATTTTTTTTCTTAAATCTATTCTTACTGTAGTAATTACAAATCATACAGATGTGTTTCGTATTAGTTATCGAAAATTAAGAGGTAATTCTTTGCTTCGTTCTAAGAAAAGTTACTGTGCATACTATTATACAGGGTGTTCCTAAACATCGTGCACATATGGAACGGCTTATTTCTTGTTTTGTACTGCGTTACTTTGTTTTGTGTTATTTGAGCTAAATATATCTAAAACTGCAAGAGCTCTAAAGAGAAAACCAGACAAATCTTGAAATTTCAATACCCTGTAGATCGGCAACAAAGCGTTTGCGGGATTATGTTTGTATGGACTTTTAGTCCTGAAATAAGTCAAAGAATTATCCCCTTCCGTAAGTGCACGATGTTTAGAAACACGCTGTATTATAGCAAGTTAGTTAGGAATCAATTATGTGTTTTTAATTTATAATGATACCGTTGAACTTTCTACTCGGTTAATCGATCGCTTTTTACGTCGTATAGTTTACTAAAACTTTTGTTGTAAGGGTAAACTACCTTTTAATTAGATATTATTTAATCTTCCACCAGTACGTAATTGATACTCGCTTCGATTCGTAACTGACGAACCGTGAAAAGGGTAGGTGGAACGTGAAACGCAAACGAACCCTTCAATTTCAACTTTGTGTAATTATCTACACGTACACAACTTTTTGGAACTTTGAGCAATTCGTTTTAGTTTCGTAATTGACCAAGTAAATATTTAACACGATCTTTATTGAGGCATAATAGAGAACTTCAATAGTCATATCAACATCGATGATTTGTTTCCAATGTTTTTAACGCCCTTAAAAATACGTTGTAATTAATTGTGGAGAAAGGAAAATGTATCAGCTGTTGCCGGTAAAAAAAACACTTAATAGCTTATACAAATGACGGAAATCGATCATTAGTCAACGAACATAATTAGGTACTGTTTTTTTTTTTGTTTTTCAACACGAAAGACCTCTGTTTGGAATCTTATTTTTTCCTTATGAAAATAGCATTACACTTCTACAGATAATCAAGGTTACAAACAGAAATGGAATCGTATTTTGTTTCTAGTAATTACATTAATAAAATAAACTGCTCCACAAAAGTTAAGGAAGTCCGCAAATTTTGCGATTATATTAAAAGTTACAGAATTGTTGAACCAAATTTTCAAATATGCGAAATTAAATGTTTTCTCTCATATCTGAGTGGATTTTTCGTCCCTTCCTCTACAACTCATACTAAATTTGGCGATCAAAAAACCTGCAACTTTTAAATTAATCTCAATATTTGTGAACTTCCTTAACTTTTGTGGAGCAGTATATTTAAAATGGAATAGCCATTTTTTTGGACAGATGTAAATTGAGCCCCAAAAGGATTAGAGATTTTAATAAAAGTAAATTGGGCGCAATTGTTCTTGTTTGAAAAAGCAGTGCAATGAACAAATATACACTCCACTCTAGAGTAGAGGGGAATAGAGGAAAATTGAGTAGAGTAGAAGAGAATAGATCCTCTCTTCCTAAAACTTCCCCGTATAAAATAATTCACAGGGATCTAAACGACGATCCATCCATTCCATCCGTCTCGGCTCGTTTTAACTAATTCGAAAATGCCCGTTTCTAATCGCAGGCGCGAGCCCGGAATCGCGTTTCTCATTATAAATTCGAGCGGTCGGCCGTCCGCCGGACTGATTTGAATGCGATCGCTGCCATTCCAATTTGCATTGGGATTCCTTTGAATTTTCAATAGAAATTTATTTTTATCGGCGGCACGTGCGCGATCAAAGGCCGCTCGAACGTGCTCGGGTGACGAATATTTCTTTTTTGCTCTACTCGTATATTGCGTTTGTTAGCGTTCTTAAACGACGTGTGCAATTTGTCCCATTCCCCAGTCGCGCAATCAACAGCTAAATTAAGATGTATGGTGGATATGTACAGGGTTTTTTACGGTAGCCGTTCATTATGTTCATAAAATGTTTCCAACCATATAAAACTTCTGGTTTTAGAGGAAGTAGATATCAACTTCGTTATTTCAAATGGAAAGTGGCATTTTTGGATTCTGCGGCACTTTTTATCCAGACTTTGATAACAACAGATGTCAAAAATGCACCCTTTTTAACTTATGTAATTTTATTCGGATTCTTTTTTGAAAAATGGTTGAATATATTTTCTATTTCTCTGTTAATAATGCACCGGGAAGTTTGAAATTTGGTTTTCATGGACCATTTACAATGTGTTTAAAATTATCTGACTAACATGGGCAACTTAAAAGGGCTATAACTTAGTTATTTCAAATTGATTTTTTTAAGCATTGAACAAGGGATACTTTTAAGCTCTTTTGATCGAAATGGGTATACCCAAATCCAGTAATTTTGACCTCAATCATGAGTTACCTACGTAGATGGCTAAACGATGCATTTTCAGCAGATTTTCAAGTCCCAAAGATATTTATATTGAACACATAGTATAATAGAGCAATATTTGTAGTTTCACGGTTGTCTGATAAAAAATAAACCCTTTACGAGCCGTCAATCACCGGTAATCACTCGAGCATTAGCATAAAGGACGACGCGGGCACATGACAAAAATCACAACAAGCAAATGAACCAAAACGTTGATGAGAAAACTTGAAGCGGGTCACGCTCTAAAAGGTGTCAAATTCTGACGTGAAGCGCTCTTCAAAATTTGAATAATTGTCGCTCTGTATGCAAACAATTCGCCCAGGTAAAGGGAACACCCTGCGTGCGCGGCGAGTTCATTCTCACAGGGCGCGAAAAGGGGTTTGTAAATAGCGGGGTGGCCGGATCGCGTCGAATCGGCGATTTCGCATTTCCAAGCGTATTTGCGCTTTACGACGTCGTCGCGTGGCCCAATGAATACGTAACGCGCGTAATGAGATGACCGTGTAATAATTTTGATACAGGGTGTGTATGTCCTATTTAGAATGGTCGAGTAGACACTTCCGAATTTTGGCCAACTATTAGACACATTCATACTGTTAAAAATGCCAGTTACTACTGATGTTTTGTATTTTTCCTCAGTGACAAAAAGTACCTGGAATATTGGAATAAAACGCAAAATTCTTAATCTTTAATTTTTCTTGAGTCACCTTCAAAATATGCTCCTTTTAAAGCGATACACATAGTCAGACGCCTTTTCCAAATATCGAAACAATTTTTCTAGGCCCTTTTTTATAAGGCTTTTAGCTCTATAGTGGCATTTATGGAGTCAAAACGGGATCCCCGAAGTGGCAATTTGTGTTTGGAAAACAAAAAAAATGTCGCACGGCTCTATTTTTTACACACTAATTAAGAACAGTGTTACCTACATACAGAAACTTAAAATAGTTTAAAATATTAAGTGCGGGTAATTTAAATCCGAATTTCCGGGTACTTTTTTGTCAAAGGGTATGTTCTTTACAAGTTTCACACTTTACAATAATTTTGTATTTGTGGAAAAAGGGTGAGAAAACATTATTCAACGTTTGCAAGGAGTATTTGGGGAGTCTACAGAATCCAAAAGTACTGTTTATCGGTGGATCGATTATTTATTGATCTTTGAGATTTTGCTGTCTCTTCTATGCTTACAAAAATAGTGCTATAAAAACGCGTCTACAATATCAGTGGAACACCTGAATCTGACAGAACAATGTTGCACTGGATAGTTGCATAAACATATCAGCACTACTCAATTTAGTGCACAAGTCCCAGAATTTTGGAAACATGCTGGAGCAAATCTTCTTACCTAATTGTTTCAGGTACTTGAAGGTGGGCTGCAACACCTTGAAGTTCATTCTGCGTCATTTCGGCGACACGATCAGAAACAACGTGCAGTCCCCGGTGGGCAGTTTCGGCGTGGATATCAGCAGAGAGGAGCGGTACGCGAGGTCCGTGCGTTGCCACGAATTTCTGCTGGAAATTCGATCGTTTATCGGGAAGAAGGAAACGCTGCCGGGCGTCGGGATGTCGTTCAAGGAGGTGCACGCCATGATGAAGAATCTGCTCGACTGACGACCGCCGAGGAACGCGTTGCGTAAATTTAAAAACTCTAGTATTTGAATTGGGGTGTGTAAATGGAGAAGTGAAAAATGAACGTGAATTTTGTTGTGATTTTACACTACAGGGTTTTTTCGTGGGGTGAGAAACTGTGCATTTACTGTTACGAAACAATGCGTTATTAGCTAAAAATAATTGGTTTTTTCTACATTTTTTGTGAATTTTTTTTATAGTAGATATTAGTAGCCTATAACGCATTTTGACTTCAATCATATCTCTGTATTGCCTGAATTAGAAAGAAATAGTATTGAAATTTCTACTTAAAGATTGTAAAGTACTTAATATTTTATTGGAAAATGTTCACTATTTTTACACAATTCATTAGTATTAAAAAATATATGTAGGTCATAATCGGCTTAAATCAAAATTAGGTAAAACTATATTTATCGAATTTTTTTAAATCCCTAATCTTCGTTTAACACACTAAGTTTTTTTAATTAGTTTTTTTACATTTTTTAAATTAATTTATTTATTATTAATTCAAAGAAATTTCTTACCAAATATTTAGTATATCATTAAAATATTAATTTTTGGATTTTATACTTTATGGAATATAAAAGAAGCTTGAACAATTTGTAAATATGCTTAGCCTGATTAGAAAGTATGTAATTACCCAAAGACTTTTTAGTTGGTATTTTGAAAATGGTACAATCCCGGGGGTTGTATTTTATCAATTTCTTCCGCTCATCCGAAATGTTCTGGTAATTTTTGGTAAATAAGAAAAAATAATGAATACTACGCTGTTATAATCGTGAATGAATTACAATCAAATAAATTAGTTTACCCCTATTAAATTTTATTTCTACTTAATTTTTGAAACAAATGAAAAAAATATATTTTCTGTAATTTTTCTTATTTTCTAAAATTACACCGAATACTCGGACATAATGTGTATTAAAAACATTGCTCATTAATTGATTTAATTCTGTACGTAGTTCGTTCTCTAAAATCAGGTATTACGCTCTTCGAGTACGTTGTAATAGTATTATACAGGGTGTTTCTTGTGTTAATATAATATGTAATTAGAAATTCTTGTAACCAAAGTATGAAGATTTCTTCTAAATCATTTCTATGAAATATTTTTTATTATAGGTTAGAAAGTAAATATGAAATTTGATGCTTATATTAATACAGCCTGATATTTCTTTATGATAATTAGCAATAAGTTCATGTAGTTTGAGACTAGCCAAGCTGTAATTTACACTTTGGTTCATTTTAGTTTGCAATATGGTCATTTCTATGAGTTGAACAAAGAAAGATTATTAAAATAACAGTAGTTAGAATGAGAAAGTTGCAATCCCACAATATCACTCTTTCTTTTTCCTTTATAAGTGTCTAATGGAAGTTGTCTTTATCTCACCCATTGTCTATATAACCTATATTGCAAACTAAAATGAATCAACCTGTATAACGAGTTATAGTATAACGAAACAACCTGTATATTTAAAATTTTATAATTGAAATATGTTAAGGTATAAATCCGTCCAATTAATAATATTAAAATACTTATTGTAATAATTCATATTTTTCATTTTATCAATTTTTATAGTTGATTGATTTTAAACATTACAAACATATTTATTGTTCGGAGAATTTTGAATTTTTTACGATAATCTTGCCGGAGTTCTCTAAAAGAGAGCTCATTTGTGCCATTTTTGGTTTTAATAATTCCTCTCGACTCTCTTACATTTTTTAAATCGATGTAAAATATTAGCGATGTAACGTATTTTAAATTAAAAGAATTATTATTATTACATGTTTCATTTAAAAAAAACGTGTCTCCCGATGCAATCTCCGACAACTGTGTAGATTCAAGATAAATTTAATACCGTGAAATATAGCTACAAGATTATAAAACGTGTGTACTCGGGGCATTCAGTGTAGAATACATCTCAATAACTCACCCCTTTCGATCTAATAACAAGGGTTGTTTGATCACAAAGGCAAACATTTTTATCTATTTTTTAGTCACGCCTATATACAAAATTTGAATAGATAACGGACTTATGAATAGGTATTTATTTAAATTGTTTTTCCAAAAGATTAAGTCGTCGGATTTGAACGCTTTCGATACACTTGTGTGCGATGCTATTAATTTGAATAAAAATTCATCGATATTATTCAAACATAACAAAACTGAGTGACATAATATTAATAATATTTTTCTATGGGTACCTACCATAGAAAAAACCTTAGTAGAAAAAACAACAAGAATTATCACAAATCACGAATTTGTCAAGCCATTTTTAGGACAATCGGTCGTTATTTTCCAGGCATCAGGATTAAAATTAAGCGGATTATAAAATATTGCATAAAATAAAATGAAATAAGAAATTTCAAAGAAGACAATGATGACAGTATACAAAACTATCTACAGTCCGATAGATAAGTACTAACATATGAGAGTTATTTAATTGTTTTAAACATTTTTTGGAAAAATATTCGACTGTGTAATCTGTGCTATCTCTATCAATAATGCACCTAGAAGTTTAAGATTGCATTACTTGAAATGGAATTGAATGGGTGATTGGAAGAAGAATAAAATTCCAGTGAATGCGTTCTTTTAATTTTACCGGAACTGTTTTGTCTCAGGCTTTTTTTGTGTTTGTGCTATTTTGGCGGGTCACGTTTCTCTATTAGTATTATTTATAATAAGAATATATGCAGAAGGTTAATTAGATGAAAGTACAATTAAAACATTTATTGTACAAACTATTATTGTACAAAAGTCGAAACATTATTTCGAGCAATACCAATTAATACAAACTAATTAACCGTCAAACTTTCAATAAGGGACGTTGCAAAACAAGTAGGACACGGATTCCCCGTTATGGGTGCGTCTCACCGCCTCTCCAAATATCCTCGACACGTCGATGCACTTCAGTTTCGAACATTTGGTCATGTTTCCCTCCTGGGGCGTGGTGTTTGTCACCACTACTGCCTCGAAAGGAGCTTCCTCTATCCTAGACAGCGCCGGACCGGAGAGGATTCCGTGCGTCAAAATCGCGTAAACCTAACAAAACAATCATGATTATTCGTGCAAAAGATGAGCTCTGAATGGCGTAAGTTACCTTGCAGGCACCGGCTATCACCAGCTTATCGGCCGCGTGGCAAATCGTCCCGCAAGTATCAGCCATATCGTCGATAAGAATAGCGACTCGGTCTTTAACGTCTCCTACCAGCACCATCGAGGAAACCTCGTTGGCTCGCTTCCTCTCCTTGTGGATCAGAGCGAATTCTGCGTTGAGCTTGTCGGCGATGGATGTGACTCTTTTCACGCCTCCCGCGTCCGGCGATACGATGATCGAGTTTTTCCAATCCGGTATGTTCTGCTTGATCCAATCTGGAAACAAAATTCGTTGGTATAGATTGTGGAGTCGGTAACACGTCATTATATTAACCCAAAACGGCCGGTTCGGCGTACAAATTATCGACGGGTATGTCGAAGAATCCCTGTATCTGGGACGCGTGCAGGTCCATGGTGATGATTTGATCGGCTCCCGCGACGGTGATCATGTTGGCGATGAGTTTGGCCGAAATGGGCGCTCTGCTCTTGTCTTTCTTGTCCTGTCTGGAGTAGGGAAAGCATGGTATCACCGCCGTGACTCTACTGGCCGATGCTATCTTGCAGGCGTGGATCATGATGAGCAGCTCCATGAGGTTGTCGTTGACGTTGCCGCAGCCGGATTGCACTATGTAGACGTCTTCGCCTCGAACCGATTCGTTTATCTCGACGCATGTTTCCAAGTTGCTGAACTTCTTCGTTTCTACTCTACCTGAAATTATATTTTGAAATTTAGCTTCCCTCGAAAAAGGATACTAGTAACGACACTGGGTGTGCCGTTAGTACAAAATTAGTAGTACTTATGTGGTTTGTTACATATGGAATATTAATAAAGTGAAGATAAAGTTTCGATATTTTTGGATCTTGTTACATTTTTTTATTAATCTCTTGGTACAAGGGCAAATTATCGAATACTTTGTTCTCCCATATAGTTTTGATCTGCTTTGGTTCTTAGTAGGACTTCTGCGAAAAACTTAGGAGTTTTACTGATGAGTATTAAAGTATTTTTGATTCAGGTAAAATTTCAATTATGTATTATAGTGATTCTAGTCTTAATCCGATTTGGACCGTTGTACCGGGGACGCGAAATAAATCGCGTTATAAGCGCCGAGAATGCTAAGAAACCCATACTCTCGCATTGCCAATAAGCGCGAATCGCCCCGGTATAGCCGCTGAGCCGCGCTGATGTGGCTCACTTAAGTTTTAAACATCAACTCACCAATAGTTGATATTAATTCTACAACTGTGCGATCACGCGATTTCGGACCGGCAGCTGGCTCGCGGTCGTAAATCACCAAAAATTCATCTAATTAATCTCGCTCTTCAGTTTGTTTGTCTTAGATCAGTGGCTCGCGCGGTCTGAAAATTTTTCGCGATTTCTCAAAGCCTTGGTTAAACTTTACTTGTTTTTAAAATTATTAATTTTAACTTATAAAATTTATTTGACATAAAATTTCACTGACAAAGTGAGTACATTCAATATTACCCAATTAATACTTTAATCTATTTAATTTTGATACTAAAAACGGTACATCCATGTGCACCGGTACCTTTGAAGTCGGCGCTAGGCGTTTTTTATGCCATGTCGAATTATGGCTAGAAATAGTATACATAAGTACTTAAGTAAGCATCCGGATTTATGGGGTATTCAAATTATAAATACAATTTTTCAAAAAATCTCTTTATGTTAGGAGTTAGGATAATACTCTGCTTTGCTTTGTCTGTTTCTCTGATGTACTTACTGCTTTCTTTACTATTATGTCTATTATAGAATATAAAGATGTTTAGAATAGATTAATACAGCTCTTATTATAAACTGAATAGAAACTAAAAAAAAATTAAGAATCTAATTGTGAATGTTGAATAATAAAATGTTTCTCATTTTTTGGTATACAGTCTGTCAAAATTGAATATTTTATATTAGAATATTGTTGATGGTCCTAACTTTCATTACTATTATCAGTAAAATTTACCAAGATAAACATATTTTAATACAAATAATAAATAAAAACCAACCATCTTACCAATTCCCAAGAAGAAGCGACCGCTAGTAAAAATGTAAGACAACTTTTAAAAGCTTTTGTAGCTCTCTTCTTACCTGCATATTGCTGTACTTAGATACCTTCATATTTACTTAAACTTTTTACCAACGATCAAAAACTGGTTACTAATTTATTGTAATAATAGTATATTGTGTTTTTTACCTAATTCGATTCCCAAAAAATCGACAATTCTTTGGGTGAGGTCATGATGACTGGTACCGCTGAACACTTTAATATTAGGCATCGCTGTCGAATCACCACTCTTCCTCGATTCTTCGTTTAACACTGACATAGTTCCGCAAAAAGGCCGAAACCGAGACTACCTGTAGCAGAACCAGTGTTATCGAAATTTTTAATACTTCTCAGAAGCCGCCCGAAGTTGTTTTAGACTAAAGCGATATCTGGTAAAGGTAAAGGGGTATTGGGAATTGGAAATATTGTTTGAATTGGCATGTTTCCAGTCGCGCTATTTGACTAGATCATTTACTTTGTTATTAGTTATGTTATCTTGACATCCATTTTTGTAGTGTTCTCCTAATTTCACTATTTCAGTTATTTTGAATAAGGTAACAATTTTAAGAAGTGGTTCGACTTATTTTGAGACCAAATTAAATCAGTTATTTTTTGTACCTTGCATTTATCTTTCTTCCTTCGTGTAAAATGGGTGACGTTTCAATTAGAGTAATTTGGACTTATTCAATTTGACTTTATAAGTTGATGTTTTCCAGCTTTTTTTATGTTTTTGTTACAAATAATATAATCATAGATTTAATAGGTAAATTGCAAAGAACTCTCTAACCCATGCTATCAACCATTACTTACATTATTAAAATTTATCCTTTTTGTCCAATTTTTCCTTGGCCTTGTACTAATTTATTTTCCCTCCACTCTTGCAGCTATATAAATTGTTGAATACCTTTTTCATTTCAGGCATTTTCGAGTTATTTTCTATTCAACTCAAGTTGAATTCTTTATCGCAGTGTCATGTCGATAGGTGAATTTTAATCAATAACGCTCCGCCGTCGAGGGAGAATAGTATCACAAAGGGGTCCACGTCGGTAATAATAATTACACCTTTAACTCCGTACGAGATTATCCTCAATAATCGCAGGGCAACCGTCCGTGGAGCAATCACGCATCAGATCGCTTACGCTTCCGAAAATAATTGAAGCATATAAAATGGTGTGCGGGCCCCGAGATCAAAGACCACACCTGCGATTTACTACAAGGACTTTATGCATTTGGTACTTTACTAGGTAGGTAATTTTCGAAAATCGTTATTTCAAGTGTTTCATTCCTTTCAACGGTGTGTTTGAATAGACAGGATTTAGAATCTGGAAATTAGGACTTGGAACACTCTGTTTTAATTAATGCAAAGTTAATAAAATTTCATAAAAAGATATAAATGATCCTTTAACTTAGACATTAACGCGCGACAGTATATCCTTTACAACATGCATAATCTCTATTTTTTATATATGTGAATCAAAGTTTTTACTGTCAAGTTAGGCTTTCTGCCACTTTTGTAAGATGAATAATTTCGAAACTTCGAGTTCAAGCTCGTCGGATGAAGACGAATTTATTTATATTAGAAGAACAAAAGTCTATAAAAAAGAAGGGACTATTTTCAAGAATACGAGCTAAACTTTTACCAACGTTTACGTCTAAAGAAAAAGAAACGGTTTTGCATCTCTTGCATGAAACAGAAGAGCAAATCAAAGTTTCTGAATTTCCTATTATTTTTTCAGTTGTACGTTGTAGGAAATTCCTCTTCAATACTAAAACTTGAAGAGAGAAACTTTTCCTAAAGGAATCTTTTACTTGTATTATGAGACTATTTGACTATTTTTTTGTTAAAGGATTCTTTAACACTTTATTATGAAATCGGCCATTTTAGGAGTATAAGGTATAAAGTCGTAAAACACCAAACTCATCAAGAACTGGTAACAAAATAATCGTATAAAATTGTAAAAAACACCCCAATTTCGAATTATATCGGATGAAAGGGAAAAAATCCACTTTCTCATTCCCGGTCTTTGCTTAGAGTCGAAAACGAGGTTGGTTTTCGCTTCACGGTGATTTCCACCACCTGTTTTATGTAACTATTCGTATCAATGTTGATGGATATCGACGGAACCAAACCTAAATCACTTGACCAGAGAACTTATTTATGGTTTCTGTCTCGCAGCGTCGAGTTTTATATTTTGTGGCTAAACCGCAGGATAAAATAAAGTCCGCTTTTTTCGACGCTCTCATTTCGTACGTGTGTTTTCAGACCGAGAAAAGAAACCACTCCGAAAATGAGGGAATCTTTTTTTCCGCGGCTTTCTATCCGTGAGAGTTATTACCAAACCGCAAATATCACCGTCTCAGGACGTGATATACAGAAGAAGTTGTGTTGAATGTATGTAGAAATCCAACGCACAGTTACAAGCACTGACCGCGAGCGCATCATTATTGTAATAACTAAGAAATACGAATTTTATTGCATAAATGCCTACATATTCTATTGGCTTTGAATGAGTAAAATATAAAAAAGACGTCGAACCTGCTAACATTTGGTCATTATATTTAGTAAATGTCATGGAGATTCTATAAATTCTGTTCGTGTACATAATTCTTTTCCTTTTTAAATTTAACAGAGTAAAATTGTAGAAAAAATACCTATTTAATTTGAACTGTAGAGCAGAGCAAACATCAGATGCGAGGATTAGTTCACAATAAATATTATAGCATATTCTTCGGTACTCATCGTATCTGACACGTTATACTTGGTATTTGACACCTATTGTGATTGGCTTAATTTGACTGTAATCCGGATGTTTTTCTCTATTATTAAAGGATCCCCATCTTTGGTGCGTTGTTTGACCTTAGGAAATGTTTTCAAACATGTGCCTGATTCATAATAGGGCTTAATAATATCTTGCCATTTTTCCCCAACAAAGGGCTTGTTCGGAACTGATGGGATTAAATTATACATATTTTAAAAAGTAACGAAAACCTATCGCAAGAATGTATTTACTTTAAAAATAAACTCGGTAAGTATCCGAATGATTAAAAATCGGACATTACAAAAAAGGGGCTTTAAATGGAACCTTTTTCTCTCTACGCTCGAAACATTTCTATATTAAATTATTAACAGTCGAACGAACTTCATTCTGCTCGAGCAAGTTTAAAAACGCCGGTTTGGCGTTTAAGTAAAAATGCACCAACCCTTTCTTCTCCCCATTGTCCATGTGAAATGTTTCGAAAAAATCACACCAATTTAATTATGTCGCAACAATCGTACTTTCGGTTGCTTCGATGCCTCCCGTGTTTCGATTGAATTTCGCAGCGTGAAAAAACGAAAACTCGCACACACACGGAAGGACCGTTCTTTATTGTACGATTAATTGATTCAACTCCGCTTATTCAGTTCGAAAATATCTCGATGATTACTCGAATTGATAGGATAAGATTCAGTTGCAATTACGACGTTTGCTAATTTTAAGTACAGATTAATTTCATCGTTAAAAATGTGTTTTTTTAGCCAACTGACATTTATCCGCGGAAATGATGATTAAACTCCTTTCCTCTCTGCGGTCGTTAATTGTTTATCTGGCTGTTCTTGATGATAATTGATATTTACCTATTAAATTCCGGAAATGCGTCAAAAAGATTTTCATTTGCTAATTATAAGTTTATAGAGATATGAATGCTATCAACACAGTTTACATCCAAAGGAAACTTGTGAGCATTATTATTCAAGGCTTAAGGAATGCACTCTTAAGGAACCTCTAATATTTTCTAGGACTTCAGAATAGAATAAAAATAATGATTTCAAACCCTTAAAAAGTCTTTAAAGCCGCTGTTAAAATGAAATACACAAATCGCCTTTATAGTAAATTGCTGATTTTCTTAGGATTTTTTATTGCTTATGCGATGATGCTTAAACGACATAAAATATTAACTTTCATAGGTTACAATAATGGAATTTCGTACAATTTCAACAGTGTTAAGAATCAATTTTATTTTATAAAGTTACTGTAACTAATGTTACCTGCTATAAAAACTTAAAATTTTCTATTTTCTTCAGTTAATAAAAAACACATATCTATACTATACCTATATGTGCAAAATTGTTTGCAATGTAGGTTGTAGGTGCAATAAAGAAAAATCTATAATCTATTAGTAGTCTCATATTAAGTAGAAAGAAAGAGTGATAAGGTGGGATTGCAACTTTCTTATTCTAACCACTCTTATTTTAATAATCTTTCTTTGTTCAACTCACAGAATTTACCATATTGCAAACAAATTTGCGCTTACCATTATAATTAATTGTAGACCCTTATTGTGATCGTGTATAAGTGATTGAGTGAAATTACCGATTCAATTATACAAGATCGAACACTCGAAACTCTCCCTGGTTCGCTATCGAAGTAGGAAGAAGATAGAGAGACGTTCACTCGACTCCTAATCGCCTATCAACTTCCGTTTCGCGTAAAAGCATGAGAACCATTAGTTTTATTCGTTCCTGATTTATACGTGACATTTGTCCCACGGGAGCCGAACGTCACAACTTTCACGAAATTCCTCCGAAAAGTTCGACTAAAAATAAACGCGAGAAGAACAACAATAACATAATACTTATATAATACAGAAACGGATCGGAGATTCTTTAGAATGGAGTCGAATATCTTTTTTACTCATTTTTAGTATTATCTTTTTTGGAATAGTTTTCTTCATTCTCGCAGATTTTTTAGTCAATTCTTCTTTAGATAATTTTCCCTATTTTCCTGTAATAGGAGAAAATAGTAAATGCTGGATGCGTCTCTGGCGAGACGGGAAAATTGGATGAGAAATGGCTCTTTTAGTTTTCTTTTATTGCGCGTTGTATTTGTTGAAAGCGTGCTTAATTAGAAGGGAAGATTAGTAAGTCAAAATATACTCGACTGGTCCTTTAATCTTGAAGATTTTTTATGCCTTCAGCAATGATTTGTAACGGTGGATATTGTAAGTTGATTCGAATGTCTAAAATTTTCGTATTCGACACGTGTAAAAGTGCTTTTCTTTGGAAAAATATTTTTAAAACTAATCTAGCACGTTTTGTGAATAGAATAAAAAATTGCGATTGTTTTGAATACTCCTATTTATATTTAGGAATAATATCCGTATGTTTTAGTTACCTAACTACAATATGAAATAAAAATTTTAAATTTGGAAATAATAGTTAAAAAACGGGCGATTGATTTCCTAACGCAATAATGCGAAATTTCGCGTTCAGGTCGTGTAATTCAGTCACACTTTGAAACGCTTCGGCAGTTTATCAACTAAATTTCAACAATATAATCGAAGCACGTTGTTCTGTTCTTTTCGAACAACAATCTATTCGAAATAATAGAGTCAGCGTTAGTTGAGGATTTGGAATCTGATGGGCAGCCAATTAACTAAGGATTACAGCTATTAGCACACGTGGCACCATGGGTGGCCACGTGACGAGATTACGCTTCTTTGAGCGCCATGAATACAATTATGGTGATTGGAGATATCGATCTCTAGTAGAAGATATGAAAATTGTTAAAGATCTCTTTAGGTATAAATACAACCAATTTGAACATTGGTAGATGCCCAATCGCTAGCTATATAGGGTATTAAAAAAGTGTCACAAAATGAAATGGGGGTAGTATGGCCCAAAATATGCAGAAAATAATAAATAAATAAATAATAAGTATGTGGCTTTAGGCCACATAGTATTGCAAAAAACAATTTTTAGTACTACTATTATATTGGTTTTAAATTTGCCTATAACATAATTTACCAACAAAAACAATACCCATTTAACTCTTCATAAAGCGCTCTCCCTATCCGGCGATATTTAGCTTCAACGAGTACAATAATGATTCACTATAATTATACGGGGGTGTAATTTTATACCATCGACAAGTACCTGCAATTTTGCAGTAACCTATTGATTCGCCTGTTAGTAAATTAGTCTTGTCAGTATTGAAACGGATTGAATGTGCGAGGGAGTCGTATAAACACAAAAATCCTCGTTTATTCCCTTTCAAAAGTCAAATAACAATGCGAAGTTCATGGAAATTAAACAACCTCCCCGGTCGGTAAACAAACAATGGTAAAATCAAAGTGGATTGAGATGGAAGTTCGGGAAATGTGATGCTAATTAATATATGTATGCTTACTTGTAGGTAAAAATTAGCAAAAATATTCCGTATCTAATTATGTTGCTTCATATCTACAACTGCAATGAAGAAGTTGAATATATGGGTATAAAAGCAGGTTTGTTTGCAATATGGTCAATTCTATAGGTTGCATAAAGACTGCAGATTATTAAAATAACAGTGGTTAGAGTGAGAGTAAGAAACTTGAAATCCCACAATATCACCCTTTCTTTTTCCTTTACATGAGACTAATGGAAGTTTTCTTTGTCGCACCAGTATTTGAATATCTAGCATTTTGTGGTACTTTATGTTGCATACGATGATACATGCACAAAAAGACAAACTGTCAAAATGTCATTAGTGACATTAGTGACAGCTTAATAGAGTTGGGAAGCAAATTTGTAGTATAGAGATGTCATAACACACGTTATTAAGTAATCGTTATTTTTTCAACTTTTCTATATATTTTCCATTGGCTGCTAAGATAAATCATCGTTTGCAATACGCAAGTGTCGTAATTAAATTGTAAGTTCAATCGGTCCCTATAACACGCCCTTATTTACGAAAACCGATTAACCCGATCAGATATGCGCAAGCCCTTTCGTCGCCGCTTTTTAATATTCAAATTCGACTCCGGATTTCGGCGTCAAACAAAAGCGAGGAGTGAACGCGCAATTTGAATTTGAATTTTGATATTCGGTGTGTCCTTTCTGCACCTGCACCAATTGATTTATATCTTGTTACAGATCCGTTCTTTTTCTCTCTCGAACGAAACCGTGTCAAATGCGTTTGCGGTGCCTCTGTTTGTCGAGATCGGATTAATAAAAAAGTTATTAACATGCTGATTCAGCTTTAAATGGAATTTGACATGGATGCCGTGCTCTCTGCATAGGAAATCATATTTTAATAATCCTTTGGTAACATGAATTATTATATTCCATTATATTAGTAGCATGTTACACTATACATACAGAGGAAGTGTACTAGATTTTGTATGAAACAACATTTAACTATTATACGTGTTTTTTCTTTATTAATATGGGAAAAATATACATTTCTAGACTAAAAAATTGATCCAAAGCTTTTTAATTCGTATGAAATATGACCAGTTTCATTTTTAATAAACCATTTCCGTCGTTTATGCATCCTCTAAAGTAATCAAATATCAGATACATACCTATACATACATTATAGCTTCATAAAGAAATAATAATTGTAAACTAAATCTCAAAACTGCATTAAATAAATTCTAATATTTGTTGTCTTTTCCTCTGCTTTCATTTAAACACTTTCTTATATGAGTAGGTATATTGCGCAAATTAAGAAGGCCAAAAAGGTACACGTTAAGCTTCCCATTCATCGACTTATCAACGGCGTATATTTAATAAAAAAGCACAAAGGCGGTGCGGATGTGAGACCTATTTAGCACCGGAATGATACATCAATTTTACCCAAAATAAAAAATGATCGATTGGTAACGCTCTCTTCGTTTAACAAAGGATTATCGTCGGATTGAAATGATTTTTGATCTTCGGTACCCTTTTTCTCATTGATGATGGGCCAGTTTTTTTTTGTTATGGAAAAGCGGGCGTATGCTCACGACCACGTGTATGCCCAGATAAAAAACGGGCACGAAAATGTATTAGTAGATAACGCAAAAAATCTTTACAGGATGTTTCGTTTTTCACGAAATTTATAAAAATTTTCGAAACTATACTAAATATCTATAAAATATCTACATACCTACCTATAATAGGCGCTGTCAAAAATCAAAAGTATGCTTTAGTCTTAGTTTATAAGGAACTCAAATGTTCAATAAGCATATTAAAATAAAGAGTTTTTGGTTAATTCTGTTAAATGTAATAGAACAATATATCTTATCGTAAAAACTTACAACACGTGTCCGTCGTTTCCCTGGTAAAATTTCATCAGATACAGCCGAATCGCATTTTCTATAAAGATATAATTTAGGGCCGATGTGGCACATGTTGATAATTTCACAGATTTGGGAAAAGGGGTAAAAAAAGGCTTTGTATTCCACTGAGACAAACTTTTATTTCCTAAAGGGTATCTTGACACAATGTGCAACAATGGTGTGTGCGTAATTTCCTATATTATTGAAATTAAATCGGAACGATATCAAAATGTTAGATATAGGGGTCGAAATTACGTTATTCGAGCGGGTAGTATTTTTAAATTTCCATTACTAATAGAGTATAATTTTAGAGACTATTACAGGAAATTTGTATGAGGATTATTTCTTATCTTGCTCTGTATTCTTTCTTTTCGTTGCCTTTAATTATTTGGCAATTATCTACTTCTTTTTATCTCCAATACAATTTTATACGAATTAAAACAATCACATCGTAAGTACTGTAGTAGATATAGGTACACATAAAAATCTTTTGTAGGTACAATATGAAGGCTAATATTAGGTCATTCTTCTATCACTCCTGAAACAATTCAAAAAAATTAAAATCAGTATGTTACAGTATTGTTAAAAAAGCATATACTTAATGAATATACTAAATTATCACTGGACGTTTACTTCTATTTCTGTTTGTGAAGCATCAATTAAATTTTTTACAAGGTGTTACCAAAAAGGATCACAATTAAGTTTTACACAATCGAAAATTCTGTAACTCTTATATTTTAATTGAATTAGTTAACGGCAACTTTTGAAAGTTCTTGAATCCAAAAATAGTATAAAGCACAAGGTTTTCCAGTAAAAAAACGTAATTTTATTATACTACAAACAAGGCTATTTGACCTTTAAATAGTCAATTCACGCATTTGAGGAGCAAACAATTCCATCAACTATTTGTTGAATTCATTTCCGCCTAATGCTCCTTTTGAAAGCGCCCGGAATTTTTTTGCATAAAAAAACTTGACCGATCAATTTACAAATGCTCTTCATCCCCGAATAAAAATCCAAGTGTCAATTTCTGTTTGCTTATCCAAACTATAATAGCAATTTCTCTTTTTTGTCGCTTTTGTCGGCTCAGATCGCATCTAAAATGGAAAAATAGGTCCCTATTCATAAAAACAGACAACTTTTAAATATATCAGTTTCAACTGCTGCCCTCCAAGCGAATTTATAACGCCGCATCCATCGAATCGCCAGCAGAACTTGTTTGGTCGCAAAGAGAGGGGCCTTAAAAAAGTGCTTTTGAACATTGTTAAAGTGTCAGTACTTACATAGGACACAGTAGCTGTAGGGAGTGATTTTACCTGGTTTTTGTTGACAGGGGGTAAGTCCGCACCCTCGGATATCTGTCGCAATCGTATACTTACACCCGACCTGAACCTTGTTAACTGTATGAAGAGGAATTTTTACTTCGAGTATGAGACATTTTTTTCATTTCCCATTCCCGGATGATTGTGAGACTTCTTCTGGAAGGTTGACAATACTGCAGTTGGTCGTGACAGTTCATGAACATTTAACTTTTTAACAGTAAATATGTAGGAACTTGTTAATTTTATTTGGGTTAGGTACCTATTCGAAAAAGTCTCGATCATTTACAGTCACCAAAAATAAATAATGAACAATGCCTATACCCGAACAACCGAACTTAAATTAATTAAAGGGATTTATCTAAGATTAACAGTCCCCTTTTTAATAGGGGAGCGATCCCGCATTAACTATCAGCGAAGAAAAAAAAATAAACGTAAGGTCATTTGAAACAAATGCCGGCTCGTCTCTTTTGTATCGAAAGGGTTCGGCCCTTTTTTATGCATGTATTATAGCTTTCGATGCGCTTTTCAGTCGGGCCATTCGTTAACATGTTACATATATTAACTTGTAAACAGATGTCACAAATTATTCAAATCTTAACGCTCGACTCATTTCCCGTTCGATGAATCGGTAATAGAGAGAGCGGATACAGAGGCATCCCCTTCGTGCTCCAGTGTACCGGATTTTCGTGTACAAAAATGCATTGAACGATTTAAACCTGCCGAGTTTTAATTATCTTAACGAGTCATTAACTTACCTAATAGAGTCATCATTTAAAAAGTCATTTATTTATCTAATAGAGTCATTTAAAATAGTCACCTAATAGAGTCATCTAACAGTAGTAGAACCATTTGATAGAGCCATCTAATAGAATCCCTGAAATGCTTGATTTTCTCCTGCTCCTATGTGCATATTTGTTTAAGATAGTCCCTTAGATAGATTTCTCTCCAATAAAACGTTGCAATTACTTATTCCTATCCCTATTGTAATACCTAATTACCTATTCTTTTAATGTTGTTCTGAAATCCTTGAAGGAATGTTTAAGCCAAACAATTCTTTTAAAAATCCATCCTAAATTATCCTCTGTCTGTTTTACAGAGATGAAATAAAAGTGTACCAAGTACATTAATTTATTGATTATGGCTATATGTAGCACATTTGAAATGTCTTATAGACACACTAGTTTCTCTGAAATCAGGGCATCCTGTACGTCAACATTTGCAGGGTCCGACGGCGGCTCCTTGAGCAAATATTGTCGAGGCGACAGGACAAACAAAGCGAATCCTCGAATAACGTCCGGGTCCCGTCAGGTTTGCACGTGTCCTCAAATCGCGCTGACGACGTTTTGATGACAGGTTATTTCGGCGCAAATTGGCAGCCGGCTCTCGCCGGCCCCGCCGTGTAATTGTCGCGTGATTATTGAGATATTATTGTTATTAGAGCATTGTTGAGGTCGCCGAAACAGGAGGAAACGCCGGTTTGTTTACTTATCCGCTGAATGCTTACCTAGGTGGTCCGTGGCAGCGGGAGGAGACGCCGTGATGAGCGTGGTGGCCGTGGATGTTGTTTGACATTCGTAACTGGAACACAATTAAACATTACTAATTAAAGATACTCATTAATCTCATTAGAATTTCGAAATGTTCTTCATAAAAAAGCTAATCCATGCTAATTCATTTTAGCGAAATCTAAATAGTACCTATACAGTTGCGCAATTGTTATAAGTATCTTACTAGGTTGTACAAGATTTGGACAATTTAGCTCTTTGAATTAAGGGTCAAATATTGTTGCACTCCTTCCGAAAAGGGAGGATTGAGATGATTGGTATAGCGAAGTTCACCCTCTAATTGTCAAGGGGTCGCAACCCTACGAGATGAGGTCACCCTTCGCTTATCTCTGCAGAAAATTAAAACGTCGATTTCTTGTTTCGAAGCGTTAGGTGGATTTTTTTGGAATCCATTAGTATTTTTAGGAGTCCATTCTCAAGGCAAAAATTGATCTCTAAAACTGTCAAAATTTGAAAGCAAATAAAAGAGGGATGTTGATTTTGTGCTTCTGTTGTATTACTTTCAAATTATGCCTTTTATTTTCCTTTTAAATTGCCGATGAAGTATGCACAATCTTCCTTAGAGTTGCCCCTACTTCTTTCTCCTAGGATTAGGTTTTAATCTCATCAGAAAATTTTCGAATTCCTCAACTCTTTCAGTACGCCATGCGTAAAAATATATTTATTCACAAGATAAATAAATCTCATCAAAATCACTATAACATTCTTACGGGATTAGCCTTTTACGCCAGAAGCGCATTCAACTCGAACTGTTTTAGAGTTCCTAATCCTCCGGTGCATGTGTCGAACTGGAGACGAGTCGTCGGCAACTTTTGTACGCTTTTTTCTTCTTATTTATTCAACGAACTTAATACTCCAGACGTTCCAAACGTTCCTACATGGCGCTAAGCCATTTACGCTGTTTTTTATGAACACGAAACAGCGCCTTTGTGAAGGGATTTCGAGTGGCAGGGGATAAATAAACAGCTCTAGCCGAGAACTTTATGACGATGCTCTGTATAACGTGATTAGAATTAAAATGGATTCGTTTTCTATTATCGTTATGAATGAATGGATGATTTTAAAAAATGTACCTTGCTTGAAATTTATTTGTGATTGTCGGTAGAATAATAATGGTTTAGGATAGAATTGGGTGATATGAATGTGAACATTATTATTTAGGAATTATAATACGTGTTTCCCATAACTTGTATCATTATTATTTCAAGGATTTATTGGAAACAATCTTGCATTGTGCAAATTTGAACATGCATACGCAAGTAGTACTTACACATACGAAATGTACGCTGTAATAATTGCGGGATCACGTACTCTCTTGTCATCGGAAAATACGCGATTGTTCACTCTCCAGTGCGATGTAACAGCGCGCTGGAAAGAGACGGTTATAGTTCGGCGAACGCGTGCAAGATAATCGCCCGAATAATGGGCAATGACACACCCTCGCTCGCTATTCAAAACAACGCTTGATCCATGCTAATGAGCAAACAATTCGAAAAAGAGAACCTCGTTTTCGTTTTTCGGTTTAATCACCTCCGCGAGCCGCCTTTGTTTCGCGCTTATGGGCACTCCAGAAACTGAGTCGTAATGACGATTGTAGTAATGCAAATCGAACTGCTGTATGAATAAAATCGTCAAAATGAACCAAGTATTTCGATCAGAATCAATAATTCGCCTAGGTATTCACTAAAAAGAGTCACTTATCTAGAAGAGTCATTTCCAACTCATCTCTCCAAGTAGGAGGGCCATTTATTCCCAACCCATTTCTCCAACTAGGAAAATTACACAATTTCGACACGTCTCTCCAAATGCAAAAGTCATTCATCCCCAAATCACTTTTCCAACTGGGAGATTCATACTATTCCAACTCATCTCTCCAACTAGAAGATTCATTCATCCCAAATTCATCTCTCTAACTAGGAGAGTGATTCATTTCCAAACTCGTCTCTCCAACTAAAAGAATCTTTTGCATCCACAACTTATCTTTCTAACTGGGAGAATCATTCATCTCCAATTCATCTCTATGACTAGAAGAGTGATTCATTTCCAAATCATCTCTCCAACTAAAAGAATCTTTCATCCACAACTCATCTCTCCAAAACTAAGAGAGTCTCTCATCTCGAACTAGGAAAGTCATTCATTTCTAATTTATCTCTTCTACTGAGAGAATGATACATTTCCAACTCATCTCTCCAACTAGAAGAGTCATTCATCTCCAACTAAATGAGTCGTTAACCTCCAACTATGAGAGTCACTCATCTACAAAAAAGAGCAGCCCAAGAGAGTCTACCATCTACCTGAAAGAATCATATGTTTACTCTTTCTAGAGGATAACTAGTAAACTCAATAGACTACCTGTATTTATACCAGAGTATAGTACTGAAAATCGTGTTCACTCATCCAGTAGGAGTATTTTTGATATAAGTTATTGAATTTCTTATAAAATTTATTTTGGCCATTAAATAACACAACTAAACTTCGATAATAATTATTAATATAAATCCCGTGATACTGATCTGTATAGGTGCAATATGGTTTAACACGAGGAAAAAAAAATGCGAGGAATTCTGGATAGCAGCGCACCTGCCTCGAAATGGTTTCGAAGCGTTTTCGAAAAGGCGTCATTATGAGATTTAAATTTCACTTAAACCAGGCGGTGTTTGAAAACGTTCCATTGTGCTACATACTCTGAAAAACTCGAAAATCCGTGATCTTTCGTTTCGGATTCTTCTATTTTGTGCAAACAAACGCATCGCCGATCGTGATAGATGGTTATCGTGTGACTGCGAAACTACCTCCCTTTTTTTCGTTATATGGGCTCCCGGAATAAATGGTCACCGTTAATAAATAGAGGCCCTTTTTATAAGCGTGTTGTTCACGTTTCAATAAATATTTCCATCTCGATAAGGTGCTGTTTAATCAATCGTTTTATCGTGTACTTACATGTTTACAGGTTAATTATTAGGTATCGATAATTATGTATTTTAATTCTTTTATTTCGTAATCTATAGATTTTTTTAAGAAAAAAATTTTGTCTTTTTTATTTAAAAATAATGCCAGCATTTCGTAGGTCCCTATAATGGTTTGTATTACTTTTTTAAAGCGTTTTTTATTCGTTTTGTAATTTTTAGAACTTTTTATAATTAAGCGAAGTAGCTTCAAAAGCTTTTTTTAATGGTACTGATTTACAATACTTAAGAAAACAATGAAATATCGAAAAAAAAAAAGCTTCAAAAATCAATGAAAACAATACTCTGGAGAAGCTATTAAAAAGCTTCGAAAAGCTCATCAAAATTGAATCAAAAATCCCTAATCAAATTAAAGGTAATATATTTTTGATTTTTAGCAATAGATAAATATGAACAAAAATACCAGTGAAGCGAAAATAACCGTTCAATTTCCTGGGAAAATACTCGTATAAAAGAAACTTGTCTTCATATGATCATGCTAAACAATCCCGGAACTTCTTTATGCGCATAGAGGAGGAGATCAGGGGATTTGTGCAAACAGGTGCGTAATATAAATATAAAATCGGATTAGTTCTTGGATCCTATAAAAGAGAGAAGAGACCGGGCCCGGAGAATCGAAATCAAACGGTAATGCATCCCCCGGGGGGAACGGCAAAAATCGGCGTGGGAGTTGACAGCATGAATAAACAGATTTCGTGCGAATTAAAGCTTATCCTCCGGGCCTTCGGAGCCTTATAATGATAAAACGGGATCTACTAGCCATTATTCCGTTTGATTGAGGGGCTTATTGTGACGCCTCCAAGACATGTGTTCCGTGTTTATTTTAGGTAATGGTTACTCGTTTTTTATTAAAAAAAATGAATTACAGGGCGATAAAGTCGGTTTAAAAATTGTCTAAAAATTTCTATATATCCTACGTGATTAAAAAGAATTCATCAAATTTTCAAAAAAACATACATCTTTTTATATGTGCAATATTTCACGTCATTTAGATCAGTTTCCTGAGTTTTTCACTGTTTAAAAAATATTTCATATTGATGTTAGGCCCTATACAGATCACTGGCACGTCAATTTGAGTACTTAACTTCCTAGTAATTGTACATTGTACTTCGCGGGGCTGTAATATATAGTGCATTGGATCCCTTTTGTGCTGCCTGACTGACCGGTGCAAAAGGCCCTTTTTGGCCTTTTATGCAATTGTTCGGCTAAACAGGATGCTGAAATCAATGCTGCAAATAACAGTAATACCCATAATGCCCTTTTTTTCTCTAAATTCGACAGATGATATATTGATTTCGACCCTACCGGGATTCTTTGGAGTTTAACATCAAGAGGCATGTAAAATAGTTCTATAATATTTGGACGTTTCGGGAAAATTTATGATTTCGTTATGCAATGATGTGTTAATTCGGAACGATGACAGTTTAGTTATTGTACCTATATACATAGGGTTCGTTCATCAATAATCAAATAAAGGAATTATCTGCAAGACTGACATTTTTTCAAAAAAAAAATTACTGTAGATAATATAGTTTTTTATTTAAAAATTTTGTTAAGTGATTTCAGTCAAAGCATTAAAGCAAATAATGATTACTTCTATACAAAGTATAGAAGGAAACTTGCCATTCATAATTTTCGTACAATTGAAATCGTTTTTAAAATGACCAACTAATTTATCTTGAAATGTTTATTGACAAGAATAAGCCGTTTTTGAAAGAGATTTTCATTCAAAAACGCATGTATTGACGTGGCGAAATGGCCAAAATGCCTGTATAATTTACATATCTATACCTAATTGATATACTATTAGATACTTATATTACAATAATAACCAAGTTCAGTCGAAAGAAGCATGTAATTAGAAATAACTTACATTAAACATATGGTTAATATTTACAGCCATTCAAAAGGAAATGTCCATAATGGTGTATCCTTGGGCCGTGAATCTATTAACATAAATGTGAAAAAATTTGGCAAAAATATACAAATTAATTCCAAAAGCCCTGGGCATGGCTTCGGTGATTTAATACAAGACTATAGTCGCGCAAACATCGTATGGATAGAAAAAGCTGCCTATGCCGCTATAGATTTGTAATTCCTTTATTAAAATTTCAGATGTTAGACACTTGTAAAAGTGCATTTTATAAATGCTTGTTCGAATGCTTAATTGCATTATCAGCCTCTCTGTCTCGTTTTCCGGCGTTCCTTCTGTTCCATAAACGCCGAACGTTTTAGACTAGGGGTTGCTCACCCTTTCCTGTCATCCCCGATTTATTCGGTCCGGTTTTAGAGTCGATAATGGCATTCCTAGGGGGTGCGTTCAATATAAAACATTTTAATTGAAATCGAAATATATCTGTTCCGAAGCAATAAAGTTTATTAAATCACTGCAGTTGTTTAAACTCCTGCCCTTTCACCGACTATGCATATTGATATAAATCTTCAACGAATAATCGATTTTTTAAAATTAAGCTCTCAGTCATTTGAATTGAACGGTAAAATAAATTAAGAAGGTTTGGTGATGTTTTATGCACTTTTATGATATTGCATGATGAAATAGGTAATTCTTCCATTATAATTTTTTTATTATTATTTCTTGTCTTTTAGATAATTTTCCCTAATTTTAGGTTTTTCACACTTCTTCAAAAACTCAATCAAACATGTCAACAAAACACTTAAAATTTTTATAAACAATTAATAAACCCCCTTTAGAATCCGAAATAATTAAAATAAATTATTTAATATTTAATTTCATATAGGTGAAAATTATTTGTTATATTTATCAAAGTTTATTTTTAGTAGTAATTTATCGCTAGTGATAATGTAAAGGGGCTATTGTTGATAAAATACATAATAAACAATCAATATGAAAATACAATTTCTAATTTTCTCACACATTCCATTATAAACGTAACTTTCTCGATGTAAAACCCTCTCTTCTGGTACAAACGCGAAAAAAAAATTCGCTCAATACTCAATAATAAACACAAAAAAGAGCCCCCTTTTCGTCGTTGGGTCGAAATTAAATTCCTCATCGCATGAGCCGAACCGTACGCTCTTATTAGTCGAACGCGGGGGGGCCGAAGGGAGCCTCCCCTACAATATCCTTCTCTGCGGGACTCCTCGTTGACATCTGATGAGGTGCCGAGGTGAAAAATCAGAAAATAAGGGGGCCGATATTTGTGTTTATATAGACCCCCATGAAGCGTGAAGTTTCGACACGTTTTGTTATAATTTAGTACTGTATTTTTTTGTTGCACGGCATATGTCGCTTTATACAATCGCTATTTGATTATTTGTGTTAAATAAGTTTTTACTATTTAGTAGTTTAGGAAATACATAAAAAATTTTATAAATAACGTAACGCTAACGTAATTTTTGTAAGATCCCACCTCTAGTCCAGTACAATTTTGTCAATCGCTTTTAACATGTATTAAAGGTGATAGAAATGGTAAAAAATGTCTGTAATTCATTTATTTTAACGATTTATTTTTATAGGTATTTGTCAAATAATTATCGTTAGGCAACGGAAAATTAAATGGCAAATAAAAAGCGTAGCAAAATTAAAATAAGTAAATAAAAGGCAAATAAAAAAAATGCAAATTAGGTTCTCAAATTTTATATTTCGTTTCGAAAAATTATAATGCCATAAAATTATTAAAATGAACAAAAGTCGAGGTTGTTAATAATATCAGCGCATACACCTTCTACCCGATAAATTTATCTAGAAAATGTGGAAAAATTATGCATGAAACAAAGTAAAATGGAATTGTGCAATAGAATGCATTGTAGAATATTGATTAAAATAATGATGAATGGGTAAAGTAAGAAAAAGTGAAAAAAAATTCAATAAAATCAATAAAATCAATAAAATTATAGTCCAAGAGTTCTTCTCAATATGTGATCTGTATGTAAGCTATTTTGAATAGAATAAAGTTCTCAAAAAACTGTGTGATAGAATGTTTCCTATTTTAAATAGATGAATTCAACATTTCGGATGTAAGGTGTATGTTATATCTATAGTTTAATCCAGAAATTATTAATTATTAATATTTGAAAAGAAAACTGAAATAAAAGAAATTAAAATTAAATTGCAATAATTTCTGGAATACTTTTAACAAATCATCATTTACCTACAATATATTTACAGAAAATAATAAAACTCCAATTAAAAACATAAAAATATGTACAAAAATATATTTAAAAACAAAAGCACGTTTGTCGTGTAAAATTTCTCTCGAATCATTAATAATAATTCCAAAATCAAATTAAAATTATTACAATATTTTCAGAAATCCTGAATATTTCATTTAGTATCCACACTCCCGAGTAAACGTTTTAAATCAAAATGACTTGTCAATTTACTCAACTAATGAAGAATACACTTATCACATATACTTCCACACATCTCTTTATACATAAACAGAATAAAAAACGACAATAACATAATCACTATATACAGAGCGAGCCAACGAAGCCCTAAATTATTGAAAATCAAAAATTGTTAAAGAAAAGATGAAGATCACCTTTAAATGACATACATTTGTATCGAGGAACAGACGCTTGATCGGCTCACCCTGTATATCAATTTACACAAATTCGATCTATCTAAAACAATTTCATATATTGCCTTTGCATTCCGTGACGTACCTCGAGGTCCTGATCGGCCCTATCTTGTCGATAGCCCCTCTGCTTGTCCTCGAACTCCCTCAATCGCTGATTGTACCTTTCGATCTGCTCACGCAGAAGGGCGTCCTCTTGGGCGGCGCGCTCCTCGTTGTATTCGAGACAGCCGACGCCGTCGAGACGCTCGACGTCGATCCAGCCGCGCCACCTCACGCACACCCCGTTCATGATGAAATTCGCTTTTATGTGCACCTGAAACAGGAAGAATGCAGAAATTAGATATTAATAAAAATGATGGTAAAATAAATGAATTATTCCCCACTGCATAAGCAAATTTTCAATTTTAGAGAGAAACCAAATGTTATCCCTTATTTACAACAAACTGGAGTGAATATTACTTTGGCTTTATCACTAGCTTTTCCTCTAACATTCTATCCAACATACGCCATCCCATCCAGGTGCAATTATGGCCTATTTTGTAGGCGCAGTTCGCGAAATGGAATAGAAAATTTATTAACACCCCGCTTCAGGGGGATGCTATTAATAACGTATAGAACAAAACAGAAGTGGGCACGGTCCGACTCAGCACGGGTCCGTTTTTCAGTTTCGCATTTCGGATCCCCTCTCGCATACATTTGTAGCTCTTCTGTGTGTATAGAAAAGGCGTGCGAAAATTACTCTATTAGGACTTTTTTTCCGGCGCGACAATGACATCTGGGTAGGTAGAAATTGAATTATTTATTATTTTTTTAGAAGAAGCGATTCAAAAGGGTTGTTCGTGTAAGACGTAACGGGTGGTATTCGACACGCTTTTTGTTTGTTATTATTGACGTGTCAGGGCTAATAGAATGGAAACGTTATTTTCGTTTTTGTATTATGTGAGAAATTTTTATTAAATTACGTTTGATTAGTATTTGGACTGGTTCAATAAAGCATAAACTGGATTAAGGCAATCACTTGGGTAAAAGCATCAACCTATGCAAGTTAAAAATGCTCAATAAACTAGAATGTTAGTAAAAACTTTGACTATTTTCTTGTATAAAAAAATTTTGTACCTCCTATTTTTTTGATATCACATATAACTCGTTCAGAGCTACTACCTCCTATTCTTATTCAAATTAGAAAAACAAACATTTAAACAATGGCTGAAAGAGGCGTTTAGTGCCCCAGTAAGGTCGGAGACGCGAGGATTTTTTCTTGTAAAACAATACCGTGACAAATGGACAAGCCGGTTTATAATAGAAAATAAAATCTGGATCATTAATATTGCGAGAAAGGAGCACGTCAGAAATTGTTGACCCTCGTTAGCGACGCAGGGCGTTCTACCCTCTGGATCCCATTTAATTCTAATAGGTGCTAATAGGGGACTTTAGGACAATAGGCATAAAGGTCTTCTTTTTAAAAATCGTAATGGCTTTAATGGACAATGACATGTGTTTTTTATGTCTCTTGTACTAACTGAAAAATCGCTATGCGATACGGTTTTTAAGGGATTAAGCGGTTAGAAATTCGTGTATACAGCTATGTCAATTTTAAAACGATGTAATTTTAAATTATTAATAACTATAATGTTAGGGAAAAAATGAAGTTAATAATATAAAATATATGTTTTAATTATCTTTAATTCTTTTATGAATTATGGTTTATGTTTACGGGTCATGCTGTGAATATAAAGTTGGACAATTTGTTTCAGTACCTATTAAAAAATCATATCTTAATCATTTACGAATAGTTGGGAGTTGGAAAATATTAAAATGAACTGATTATTTTATACTAAATATTCCAAATTGATAGGTACCTACAAAAAATTGTGCTACCTACTCAGGGTAGGTCTCTAAAATGCATTTTTTTTTGAAAAATTGGGGTCGATATACTTACACCCTATTAAAAAATAGACTTCTTTCATTACCATGTACTTGCATATATATAGACGTTAAAAATAAATTTTGATACAAACTGATTTTCATGCAACATTTTCTACCCTCTTTTGTGCCTAGAAAGTGGCCGTGCGGGTTTCAAAAACCAACCCTTTCGTGATAAATGGCATTCGAAGGGAAGCGAGTAGCCGTTGGCTATCCTGGTTCGTAAGTTACGCCCCTTCGGCCCTACGAGCAATCCCCTGATTTATTATCATGTAAAGCAAACTTTTTTCTTCTATTGAATAAGGCGGGGATACTCAAATCGCCCAAAAGGGTTGATTGAATATATCGCCTGATGCTTGTACTTGTTAATTAGATGAGCAATGGTTCACCTAAATTTGCTCCAAATCTTCAATTTTTTCATAACATCAAATTTAGCACTATGTTGAACTTTTCGTTTAATAACTTTTGCCATATGAGACAGGGTAATTTAAGTAATTGGCGCAGTCGGAGGGACATTTGCGAAAATTGATTCAATTAAACGGTGTTTGCGTGCAGAGGTGGAGGTGTTCGACAATGAGAAAATCCTCTTCGTGACCGGACGGACAGACATTGTTCGAAACGGAACAACGGAAGCGACCGTTTGACCATTTGTCGCCCATTTTGAACTAATTTTTCGGCTTATTGTCGTTTTTGTGTCACACGGTTTAACGGCCAAGTGAGCGTGTCGGTTTCGCATTTCTAAAGATTATGTGCTAACACTAAACGAGGAGGAGGAAGAGTAGAAGGTGGAATGAATATGGAACTGTTTGAATGCATCCGACAAATGCGCGGGTGTTAATGTTAGACACTATTCAAATTGATTTATAACACAATTAGATGAATGAATACAGAAGAAATTATTAAAAACAAATACACTGTATCCCTGTATAATTATTATAGTATCACAAAGTCATTTTTATTCAGGAACACATATTGTATAAGAGGCATTTAAAAAGTTGTTAACAAATATCAAGTACCTAGTTAATATTAAAAATTTAAAGGGAGTTTGTTCAACTAAGGTAATTAATTACAAGACGGTTTACAAATTTTATTTTAAAAATAGATTTTTGCCTATAACATTTCTTTTGAGATAATTAATATCTATGCATGTTAAAAAAAGGAAAACGCATAGAATTTTACCTACGTAAAACGTGAACAGGTCGAAAATTGGAGTAAATTCGAGTCCATATGTTCTGTTGCATGTTTCGGCTACGGGACACGCAAAATTCGAAAATAATTTTTTAATTCTCCCTCTTAATTATAGGTTCCTTGTAACGGCATTTTAATCATTCGAAACGGTTCATTTAACTATTGTAGGATGCCTCGAAGGGTAAATTATACCGTCGATACAAAAAAAAAATAGTTAAACAGAACTATTTTTTAAATTTCTATAAAACTGCAGGCATTATAGCAAAAAAGTTGCAAATTTGTAGGTAATATTTTACCCAACAAGCACGTATATTTTGTTGGTATAAAAACGTCACGGGTTTTCTTGGTAAATTTACTAATAAAAACACACATGGAATTTCCTCTTTAATAATTATTATGCCAATGTGCTGGTCTCTCGACCTTGAAATGATCACTCTTTGGGTCACCTTTGATACAGCGCATTGAATAAATAACTAATTAGCATTTATAGGTGAATCATCTCGTTCGTGTAAATTCATTTTTATTGGTTTTTATCCTTTTGTAAATTTAAACGTTTCAAATGAATTATTTATATCAACTGTATGTGATGTAGATAATAACCCATTCTCTTAGGTAACTATACGTAAATAACTTGTTAAATAAATAAATGTCCTTTGTAAGCTGTGAACAAAATGATCTCTTAGATAAGTAAATTACTCTTTTAGATAATGGACTCATAGATATGTATGTACATATGTAATTGAATAAGTAGGTAACCTTTTTATTTCAAAGTATACAATTAACTACAATTTTGTTAATTAACCAAAAAATGTTTTATTAATTTACAGATATAGAAGATATTTACTAAACAGGGCTTATCCGATAACCGGCAAACTTGTAGAAGTATAAATTGGTTCCATTAAAAAGATTTATAGCAATTTGAAATCGTAGGGTCACTGCTACCTGTTCCGAAATTATTATACCTTTAGGTAACAGAATTTACAAAGATGCGGACAAGAAGTCAAGCGAAAACGTCAATTTGGGAGCTTATCTTTTCGAAGGGGACAATATCGCTTCGGTGGATTCTTCAAAATATTCGAATAAAGTTGTTTACTACTTTCCGGGAATGCGAACAAAGCGAATAATGGTGTCAAAATGTCTTTGAGACAGTTTGAAATTTTTATACGTCTCCAAGTGTCGAATGCAGGAGGGTACTGGGACCTTTTTTACACTGTTTATTGTGTTTTTTGTGATGTATTTGAGTATCTCAAAAATTTTGATAAATAAGACCAATAAAACATCTCAAAAAAAAATAAAAAGGACTTCTAAAAATTATTATAACGCTAAGAAATAAAAAGGTTTGATATAGAATTGCAAGATGCCGCTTAAAAACTCATTCTGTATGCACTTATATTTTTATAATTACTTTTAATAATCTACTTATTAGCTATCAATTTTTAAATCGATTTTTTCCTCTGCAACTCATTCGTAAAACTCGACATTTACACGCCTCCGAATAATAAAGAACTTTCACGCTCTAACAATTTTTATAACTGGTTTTTGAATGAAACTACAAGAACGCCGAGAACCTCTCATTACGACGAAATAAAACAACAACAACAAAAAAAGGACGAAATCTCATCTAAACTAAATATAAATATCCAAGAAATCAATTACTCCGAGACCATAATTTTCGACTTGAATGAATGATGGTCGAGAAAAAACAATCTCCTAATCGTGGTTTTGTAATGTAAGAAAGTCCCCTTGTTCTGCTTCGCTAACATCTCATTTATTCTCCGAGAAATCCGCTTTTATGATTTTAATGCCGGATCTGCTGGTGTGTGACAAACTGGAGAAGACATTTTTACACCTTATTCAACGGTTTATAATGGTATAAAAGCCAGAGTTTGGGTTTGAAACCAAAAATAACCAAATCTGGGGTGTTAAATTTAACTTATTTCCAGTTTTTTGTTACTACTTAAATGCATTGAGAGCATTTGTTTCTATACTTTGAGAATACGGAAATTCAGCTAAAATATGTGAAATTTCCCTTAGGAGAATACTCTAGGCATAGGGGAAATTCTTGACTCATTACTGCAAAAGTTTTACAAATCGTGTGAAGTTTTGCTTTGTAAATTGAAACAGCCTTATTTCCACTGATTACTCGTCCCTGCCTGTCGCCTAAATCAAAAAGCACACCATTAAAATTCAAAAGCACAACAG